TTCAACGTTTTCAACAAGGTAGAAGCATCAGTGATGATCCCCGACACATTTTCAGGGTTCCCACCATTCTCACTCCCATCCGTACGTTTTGACGTTTCACATCCAAGAGACACATCTGCCGTTGAGGCAGCATTTGAGGTTTTTTCAGGGCTTTCATGGACACCAGAACCCTTTCCCTTTTCGGGGGTCCCCTTACCCTCACTTTTGGTGGTTTTGGCAACCTTTTTTGGGGTATCATTTTTGAGGTTCCAATTCCCTTTTTTCACTGGGCAATCAGTCCGTGAATGTCCAACACCCGAACAATTAAAACATCTACCACTTTTGGGATCCAACTGAGCATGATGAAACCTACATGAATCACCTCTCGTGCACCCTCTTTCGGTCATCCAATACTTACATGGATATTTTTTCTGAGTTTGGGGTTTCCCATCATCCCCATTTTGTGGCAACCCTGGAGGCCTATCAACACCCAATGCAGCAGCTTTCACAGCTGTCCCCGTTTTTCCCCCAGCACCAAGCGACAAGTCCTCAGCTTCAGCCTGAAGATGCTCGGAGTAGCGAAGAATCACGGCAGTGTGCGGCTGGCGGTCAAGGTTGAGCTGCTGGCGCACCGAATTCAATCTGTAGGCAACTTGCGGAGATTTCTGGCTAAGGCAGTCGGAGCATTTGGAAAGGGCACCTAACAGCACAATACCATCAGGGAGAACAACATTCAGTTCTACAGCCCTTTGAACATTCCGTCTCCATTGACGCAGCCATTCCAAAATCTCATTCACACTGTTACCACATTTTCCATCAGTCAACATGTGCAACAATTTGGTACGTTCAGCAGACCCTCCAGGTTGAAACAACACTGACAACCGAAAGAGCAATTGATCAACAGTCAGTTTTCGGCTAGCAATCATTTCATCCCTCACATTTTCAGGAATTGCAGCCAACAGCATGGAAAGTGCACGACGCTCTGTTCTTGGAAACATTCCCATTTCAGGAGTGGCTTGAGGTTTCAAATTCAACCTTTCAAGAGGTCCAGAAATCAACCATGTTTGATAACACTGATCCGACACACTACGGACCATTTTCCACCAAGTTTCACTGGTGTACGACAAGTCGCCCATCATCGTGTCAACCACGCTGAGCCAATCACCATATTGAACCGCAGTTGCATCACCTGACAACTTCGGCAAATCCACAGTCCTCAGATTTTCCGAGGGATTTTCACCACAAACGCCTGAGCTTGGGCCGAAGCCAGTGATCGAAGGCGGAAATGGCGGCAACACAGGAGGTGGGGGGCAAACATTCCCTACAATATTCCCACATCCCACAACAGACACTTTCGGAGGCGAAGGTGGTGGTGGACCCGGTGGAGGCCTAGGGATAAACAGTTCAACCAAAGGCTCTGGCACCGAAACAAAGGAACTTTGTGACCCTTGCAGGGATGGTTCATTTTTCATGCCATCCTCTTTTCCACCAACAACTCCCAAACCCTCACAACACTCATCAAAAACCATCTTTTGTCCTACTTCCCTTTTTGGTTCGGACTTCAAAGACAGCACACCTTGCCGAAACTTTTCCTCGGCTTCACGCAAACACCTAAGCCTAAAGAGCTCAACAGGATCCATTTCAACATACCCTTTTTGTGGTGTGGTGGTATTTGACACTGATTGCAGTGGCTCCTGAATCCCAGCGCTAAATCCAAGTTGCGAAGCATCCTGAAACCCAGCACTAAAACCAAGTCGCATAAGGTCCTGACCTTCATAGCCAGGCCCATAAGCTTCTCGAAGAGCTTCACGTTTGCAGTCAGGACTCCAAAACGGGTTCACTTGGCTTTGGACCCCCAAACCACTAGGCATTGATCCCTCTACCCCTTGGCCATGAACAACATGTTTTTCACTACCATGTTGCACCACATTTTTTGGGATTTCATTTTTCCCCACAACATCACCGGTGACCCACATTTGAGGAGGGTTTTCACCAACAACATTCCTGTCCAACCCACTTGGCTGACCAGGCTCACTTTTCGCCTGCCGAACCCTTGAACCCTGGGTAACTTGTTGGGTCCCACCGTTTCCCTTTCCCGTGGCAACATGGCCTCCTTGACCTTTACCGTTACCATTTTGGGGGGAACCAGAGGCATTCCCATCAGCACCATCATTTTTCAGGGCATCAGAACTCGGTTCAGACACAACAACACGTTTCACTTCAGGATTTTCTCCTTTTACCTCGAGGTTCTTTTCGCCTTTAGTAGTTTCACCTCTAACTGGCTCAAGAAAATCACCCGGAGAGAAGGACATCGGTGGACCTATGGGTTGCAAACCAGCTAACAAGTCACCCCCAGAAACACCAGACACCATCCCAGTATTCCCAGGCACATCGGACAAAGCTGTTGCCCCAGAAGTCCCAGTCGCTGCCACGTCGTCCACCAACCGCTGCAACTGCGCATCAGCCGCTTCATCAGCCAGCGCTTGAGCTGCACGCCGCTGCAAGGACGAATCTCGCCGTCGGCTCAACTCCATGCCAGGTAGAGTCACTTTGGGCTCATAACCCGTGGTTTTCACACAGGTGCAACTTCTCAGCTGCTGACGCGCTCTATCTTTTCAAGAGCTTGCATCTTGAGCCATTTGTTCAATGGCGTGTCATCTTTGTGCAGGTGGTCATGCCATGTTGCATGCCATCCAACTTTTGAACCTTATGGTCCTTTGACCACATGTAACTGCAAATGGAGTTATGGCTCGATCGGGTGAACCACAATTTTAATAGGTAATGATGTAATTTGTAAATTTGGGGGTTCCCATAAATGGGGAAATCCTCCAAAATGGATGGTTTATTTCATGGAAAAGCCTATTAAAATGAATGTAATGGAATATAGGGATTTCCATAGTCATGGAGGATCCCCAATAAGCTGGATGGTTTACTTTATGGAAAATCCATCAATGGATGATGACTAAGGCTACCCCCATTTTAGGAAACCTCCATATTACAATTGATAAACCATGGCAGATTGCTCATATAATTGTTCAAAGCCCAAAAAAATAGACGTCGCCGAATGACGGCGAAGAATACCCAGCGGTCTGGAAGCGGTCAACATTTGAAATCGCCATCTTACTGATTTCTAGATAACTGCAATTTTGTATATTTGGGAGTTTGGGTCACTATAAATCTAAATTCTGCTGGGTTTATTATTCTAAGCCAACCTTCGTGCGATTATTAACCATCAACATTTTGATAACGATCTGATATTTTACCTTTCAAGCTTTTTCTACATATCTGCAATTCCACACTAGTGCGCGGCTTCAAAACATGTCTAAATCAGATGAGCTCAAGCTCCAAATCGCTGCAAATCCAGGGAAGCATTGTCATACCGTGGATGGTTGCGAAATCCACCAGCTGGTGGTAAACATCCCATGATTTATAGCTGCTTGGTGGTTTGGAACATGTTTAATTTTCCATTCAGCTGGGAATGTCATAATCAGTTAGGAGTTCCTCTGGTGGTTTGGAACATTTTTCCATTCATTAGAGTATATTTGGGAGTTTGGGTCACTATAAATATCTGGTTGGTGGTTTGGAACATGTCTTATCTTTCCATATATTGGGAATGTCATCATCCCAACTGACGAACTCCTATTTTTCAGAGGTGTAGGCTCAACCACCAACCAGAGCTCCAGAGGTGCCAGGTTTTCGCCTGCTTTGAGGCGGAAGCATTGTTAGTTTTAATAGAAATGAGATCGTTTGATACACTTCCGTTATAGATCTTTATCGTATATCATATACCAAAAAGGGAATGGTACTGCTTATTCATACCCGATCTTTTATTTCCCTATACTATATTTACTGATATTTGATTTGATTCTATGTATATATATATACTACAGTATCAGTAAATATACACTATATCGAGATAGTTTGATGCTATATATCCAGATACACTATTATATGTATAGAAAATACATAGTGTATATATATAATAAGTTTGATCTATGTATAATGTTAAAAAAATATTTAAATACTGTAACTAGTCAATATAGTTAAATATAAAACAATATAGTTTTTTGGATATACCCACCATAGTATGTAGAAACTACATAATAGTGTATCGGAAAATATAACGTAATATAACATATTTTTCTATAGTATATATCCTGATATATACTATATATAGTAACTATTTTTGTATATAGAGAAAATATAACTATCAAGTTTTGTACTATTTTTACTATATTAAACATAGTATATAACCATAGTAACTATAGCAACTATATACTATAGTGATATATATATATACATACTACAACTAATCAAAATGCGTATCAAAAAATATATATATATATACTTATTGTATATAATTACATAAACACTCTATATAGTGTGTATATATATATAGTAATTTTGGTCTATGCAGAATTATAAATATATATATATACTGGAACTAATCAATATAGTTATAAATATAAATCAATATAGTTTTTGGATATACCCACCATAGTATGTAGAAACTACATAACAGTGTATCGGAAAATATAACGTATATTTTTCTATAGTATATATACTGATATATATTATATATAGTAACTATTTTTGTATATAGTGAAAATATAACTATCAAGTTTTGTACCATATGAACTATATTAAACATAGTATATAACCATAGTAACTATTGCAACTATATACTATAGTGATATATATATATATACACTACAACTAATCAAAATGTGTATCATATATATATATACTTACTGTATATAATTATATAAATCACTTTATATAGTGTATATATATATACTACAGTATCAGTAAATATACACTATATCGAGATAGTTTGATGCACTATATCCAGATACACTATTATATGTATAGAAAAAATACATAGTGTATATATATATATATGTATACTACTAAGCCATGTGCTAATAATAGTATATGATCATTATACAACAAACTATGGTACTAGTAGTGGTACTAATAATACCATACTGATCGATTTTTCTACAAAACTTCACCTCGAGGTGAACTGCTCTCCATCGAGCGCACCAGCGCTGCCCTGCGCCAGAGCTGCGTGGCCTTTGCGCGCCTGGCGGAGGGACACGTGGACGACGTGGCGGACGAGGCCAGGGCGGTCCCTTTTTGAAAAGGGACGGGAAAATGGTTGGAAAATGTGGTATTTTGATTGATTTGATGGGGTTTTCATGGGATTTTCGGTCATTTTAAGCTTGAACATGGGATTTTAGATGATTTTCATGGGATTTATTTGGGATTTTAATGGAATTACTATGGGTTGTTCGGTTTTCATGGGATTATCATGGAATTTGGTTGGATTTTATGCAATTTTCTTGAAATTTCATGAGATGTTCATGTTCATTGTAGTTTTGAATCGGATTAGTGCAACTGGATTTTAATACGATTGCAATGGGATTTTTGTGGGAGAATCAGGGTTTTTCTCAATGCTGGCGATTTTTTACCATCAGATACATGGATTTAACGCGCCACTGGGGATATTGGATTCTAGCCAAAACCTATGGGGATATCATGGCCCATGGCCATGTAAAATAATCATTGGGATGGAAAACCACTAGATACATCTAGATACTGCATATGATTGGGATTCATTTACCATCCCCAATAGATGAATAATGATGAATAGATGGGGTGTCCCCATTCACTGTTCCAAAAAATCTGTGTTAGTTGACCCTGTTCGGGCGGTTCTCAAAACGACCCAGGCCTGGGCGGACCTTCGATCTGACGTCATGGCATCGGTGGAGGTGAGCTGATGGCTGGGATTTTCTCATCTCATCCACTTAAGAGACCCGGCCTGGTAAACCTACAAAAAACTATGGAAAATCACAGTTTTTAATGGGAAAATGCACTATTTCTATGACCATTTTCAAGTTCGCAAACTGTTAGTTTACCAGAGGGTATGTAATCGTTTGATAAAATGCTTGCATGTTTAGTATTTTGGTTGTGAAATACCCAAATAGTTTTAATGTTTGCTTCTCATCATTCTCATCCACGAAGTCAAATCAATAGATCCAGCACTAAACCAGGCTTTCTCGGGCGTGTAGGAGAAGGATGAATGGTTCTGGGAGGCGTAATTCAAAAGCATCGACCACAATTTTGCCGGTTGATATCAAACAGACTTTTAAGGGGTGACGCCATATTTTGAAAGCCACAGATTTCGGAGTTTGTCTGGATCTGAATCAAGGTTTGGACCATTGGCTGCCAAATTCTGTTGAAGAATTCAAAAAATGGATTTATACATCGGATCGATACTTCATTCCTATAGATCAAAGCCAAATACTTGCTAGGGGAAGGTTTCCCACAGAATCTTTTTTGTTTGAAAAAAGAACACCCCAATTCCAATGCTTCTCATGATTCTCATGATTTTCCCTCTTAAACCTTGCCATTTTGCGGAGCTATACCCTCTGGTAAACATACAAAAAACTATGGAAAACTACCATGTTTCATGGGAACATCATCATTTTTAATGGGAAAATCTATGGCCATTCTCGGTAAATCACCGATTTCTATGGCCATGTTCCACTCCGTTCACCCGCCGGGTCCGGCGGTAAGGCAATGAACTTCGCAGGAGATGGCAAAGCCGGTGTGGCTGATTTGTTGCTTGAATTTTACAATTGGCTACCCTCTGGTAAACCTACCAAAAAACGAACTGGAAAGATCCACCATGCTATTAATGGGAAAATCCACATAACTATGGAAAATCCACTATAGGTATAACTAACATAACTATGGAAACTAACATAACGAACTGGAAAGATCCACCATTTTGTAGCTGGGAAAATCCACTATTTCGACTGGGTCAATTTTCAAGTTCGCAAACTGTTGACATAACTAGAGGGTACACCAATAGAAACGGAAAATGGTGGATCTCACCATAGGAAAATGATGAAATGGTGGATTTCCATGGGGATTTATATCGCTGATTTCCCATGGGGATCCCACCAGATTTATCCATCATTTGTTTAGGGATTACCATGGGAATCATGAAGATGAAATCAAGTGCTTGAGTGATGATCAACCAGTGGCTTCCGTGCCTGTGCCTTTCAGGCAAACCCAAGGTGGAAATTCCATGGTAATTTCCCAAAAAAAAACGTGGGGCCGAAAAAAACATGTTTGACCTTGAAATCCGAATGGAAGTTTCTCATCATTGTTCCCATTGAAATTTTGAGAATTTCTGTGACAATAAGTGGTTTGAATGATCATTTTCTGGAGAAAATTATGATGAAGAATTGGCTTTGGGCCATATCCCCCATGTATTTTTCCGGCTGCTTCATAATTCCTCAAAATACCAATGTGCCAAACACAAGATCTAAAACTAAACCATGGCGGTTCTATGTGTCTCACTTTTTTGACGGGGATTGTCATCCCATCACCCTAATATTAAACACACCAATTGCATGGTCCAGGGGGTGTCATTTTTTCGGGGGAAGTTTGCATATCTAAACCCAACCATAAATCATCATAAATCTGGGTAAATGCCATCAGGACCGAACCCTGTTCTCCCGAACCCTGGTTCATCAACCTTATTTTATGGAAATCATCCCCCGATGGCCCAACAATTCAGGTGAGTGAAATATTCTAATTTACCCAGATTTATAGTGGATGAATGGTGGTTATATGGGGGTTTCCATAGTCATGGGGGTACCCAAAATGGATGGTTTGTGATGATAAATCAATGGTGATAAATCACAGTGATGTGTCTTTTCGCCACGTGGATTGCACAAAACCGATGAAAATTTAGCTAGACCTTGGGTTCACCATGGTCAAAGTAAGGAGGCCTGGTAAAACGCTGCATGGGTAAACATTGGGAGTTGCATGTGTATCATGTTGTAGTATGTTAACCATTCAATGTTTATCATTTGATTCATCGTGAATAGATAAACATCATTGTATGATGTATGTATTCTGATGTTGTGCTTGGTATATTTGGCTGACAGCTTGTTTTCCAGCCGTGCTATGCGAACATGGAAGATTTCTGGCGATGTTTTATATTTTGATTATTTTGAATGTTCCAGTTCCAATTGAATAAAATTGACACAGTTTGGGCGTTTAAGATTTCTTACCTGGATAGCAGCCATACACCTCGATTGTTTGATGCAACTTGTCTCACTACAAGTTGCATTTTGACCAGGGGATCGACCGACCACCAATCACCTGGATCTGAATGCCACGGCGGCCGCCTAGCCATCGCTTGTGCTCAGCTGGAGGGTCCCACGCCGCCAGAGGCACGGCAGCAATTGTTCGGCCAACGCACCATAGCAGCGAAGGGAAGCACAAAGAAAAGGCAGCCACAGAAGCAGCCACAGAAAAGGCAGCCACTGAGAAGTGGGCCCGAATGCACAAAGCCAGTGCTGCAAGACTTGAAGCCATGCTTTCCTGGTCAACAGCCCTATTAGCGGAGGAAGAGGAAAGCAGGTGCTGATCATTTTGAGGGCCCACATGTGGACTGGTTGGTGCTTTGGAATATTTTTTTATTTTTCTGGGAATTTCATCATCCCAACTGACTTTCACTCCATCATTTTTCAGAGGGATAGGTATGGTATACCACCAACCAGTGGCTATTTCATAGATGGGATTGCCACCCATCATGATCCCCATTCGTTGACGAGTCCGTCTAGCACCCGAGATATGGTGTCCTTGTGACTTGGGGATTCCCAGGATCCCCAATCGTCGCTCTAACGACTGGATGATGACTGGGGGTACCTCCATGACAAAACGGAAACCTCCATATCTTGTAATAAATAATCTTAACGTGGCAAGGAGTACGCTCTAGGGACTCTAGGGGTTGGATTTGTTTCTTAGATTGCCATGTGAGGCTTTCCATAAATCAGAGGACCCCCAAAATCATCCATGTCAATGGTTTTTCTCATCATAAACCATCCATTTTTGGGTACCAACAGTTATGGAAACCTCTGGCTTCCTCCCTCTCCCTGAGACAAGCAGAGGCTATCGGATGCGTACTTGGAAAGCAGCTGGCGAGTTGATAATGGAACCGTTCTAGGCGGGGGCACAGGTTTCTTACTACCGTAGGGTAAAGACATTTAAATATGTGGACGGCGGGCCAGACCAAAAAGCCCTGGAGGCAGTATGAAACACAAGTTCCATCCGTATATTGAAAAGTATATTTAACCAAATTAGATTCCGTATGTTTAAACGGCCGGGCGGACCAAGGAAAACCTTCAGGCGGGTAGTCTAAAATACTAGTTCGTATATTTAAAAATCTGTATATTTCAATGTAGTTACCGTACAAATATGTTGGTGATTGAATAGTACAATAAATTAGGGGTAAATTCTCGTTCGCTGACATGCCAATCAAATTCACGAACTCGTTCGATTGATCTGTTTGTTGATGTCCAAAAGCCTCCTGCTTGGATGAATGATGATCAGTGATTGTCCCAGTCCAAAACATGATTGGTAGACAGCCCCTCCTGGCACCTCCGATCATTGATGGTTTCCTCTTTCCAAAAATGCCCAACTAACTGGATAGGTAGTTTGATCCTTTCGTGTTTTGCCAAACGGGAGAAAGAACCATAAGCAGGAAAAGATTATGTTTTGTGGACTAGCAAAGATTGACCATGCTTCAAATACTTTGTGCTCACCTTGCTTAACAGTCTTTAATCTTGAGGCAATCACTTCTCCATCGTCGTGGCTCTAAGCGAAGGGATGGCTCTGATCCCCTGGGTTCTTCTGGGTTGAAAAAATCATCGTGTAGATTTCACCCAAAAAGATACAAAAGTCATTTACCACGAGTTTTTGTAGCAGTTGACTTTCCTACTTCATTTTGGGGCTATAGTCAATGGATTGGTTTAAGGGAAAATCTACCGGAAACAATAGATCTTACCACTCAATATGGGGTTATATGGGGTTTTCCTGTAAATTTTCCCTTAAACCAATCCATTGACTATAGATTTTCCGTTGGAAAAACGCTGTTGATTTGGTTGCCGGGCCGGCACAGGTGGCGTTTTGTGGGTGCCTTGTGGTGGAAACAGCTTTCCGGGGCAGCGGTGCTTGCAGGCCGCAATCTGGTGAAATCCCTCTGGGAAATCAGCGATATAAATCCCCATGGAAATCCACCATTTTATCATTTTCCTATGGTGAAGTCCACCATTTTCCGTTTCTATTGGTGTACCCTCTGGTTATGTCAACAGTTTGCGAACTTGAAAATGGCCCAGTCGAAATAGTGGATTATAGTGGATTTACCCATTGAAAATGGTGGATCTTTCCATAGTTTTTTTTGTAGGTTTACCAAAGGGTATGGTGTTTGGAACAACCGTGATGGACATCAGCTTTTTGTCCCTCGTTTGTCAATACCTGGGCAGTGCCCAAAATGCCCAACTGTTGATGATGGGATTGAGTAGGAGTACCTGTAGTCTAGAGTTGTTATGTATTGAGTAAGAATAGATATTGTTAATATAGTATTACAATAGTGTCCCCCCCAATCATTTACACAGATCCAGAATTATTTTCGAAAAATTGACATAATAGTGGATCCCCACACTAATCAGGAGCCAACATTATAGTATTACAATGTATTACAGTAACTAAGAATTAGTCTTGTTTTAGCGGGACATGGGATTACGAACCAACCCATCAACTGGGAAGCCTGTGGTTGGGCCTTAAAAACATATTTGGGCAACTGATCATCTTTTCATGGCCGACATCGAGATTAACCGGTAATTCAGTCGAGTAAAGAATCTCAGGGTTACCCTCTGGTTATTTAACATAGCCATGGGAAATGACCCATTTATAGATGGTTTACCTTTTAAAAATGGTGATTTTCCATGGCTATGTAAAATAATCAGATGGTATTTTCCATTTCATATATGGGATGTCATCCTTCCCATTGACGAACTCCATCATTTTTCAAGATGGTGAAATTGCACCACCAACCAGTTAGTTAACGGGTAGAAGTGACATGATTGCCTCAGATGTACCCAGATGGGTAGAAGATTCTCCAGTTTTCAGAAGATTCGACGGGCACTTCGCTTTCAATGAGTTCATTTCCAGAACGGTCGACTGCTCAGTTTGTAGTTTCCTACAATGTGAGGCCCCGTTCGAGAACGCTAAGTTGGCGAACATAACTCCAATAACTATGGTTTATGGTACTTATAACTACAGTTACTGGGGGTTATAAACCAACTTATATCGTTTGGGGGCCTCACATTGTACTATCTGGTGGACATGACATGGGCCCAGTAAAAAATGTCGATCTGAATGAAATATTTCTTTTGAAATCTTCCCTGTCCAGTAACATCAACTTGTATAGCATCCTGTTTTACGTTGAAACATCAACATCACAGAAGTCTTATTTGAACTTCCTGTCAGGTTCCTGCAACCCATGTTTTTCATACCAGTAACAGGTACGTTTTGCTGCGACCCACCAACTCAATCCAGAGCGTTGATTCTTTCCAGAATTGGAGATCCAAAAAACGCAGGCTTTTCCCCTACCTTCCCTACCGTGAGTTCCAAAATTGGGCATACCATGGTATACCCCAAATCCTGTGGTTTATCCAGTTTATCCTCCCATGCTAAATTCAAATTGCTGTTTTTAGGTACACCACATTTTGAGAAAGCGAACCATGGACCAATTTTGGCGAAGTGTTTGGGAAGCAAACCATGCAGACCGCGTAGGCCGTGCTGAGCATTTCCAGGATGCTGCGTATCACCTATATGTTGACATGCCTTTGCGAAGCTTGGGAGCAAAAAATGTTGTTGGATTGGTTTTGTTGGGAAAATAACTTAACCGGAAACCCATGGTTTTTTACCATGAAATATGACAGGGTTTCCGGTTAAAATGTTCCCAACAAAACCAATCCAATGAAAAATGTTGTCAGCAACTCACAGGACATGAGTTTCCGTTTTTTTGCCCATTCTTTTCCCATATGGGTATGGATCAATACCTATTAATACCTTTTTTAGGGAGATGAACATCCATAAATCCCAGCTATTTTGATGTTCACCAGGGGTACAAGGTTTTGACACACTGCCATATGATTAATCTGGATGAATGATAATGACTTCACATCATGACGTCCCGACGGAATGATGGTTAGGATTTTTTGCCACTCATCCCCGACAGAAGTTTCAGTAATTATCACGTTAGTAAGTTATTACCCATACCCATAGTATCCATGGTGCTGGTATATATGCTAACATTTGGGGTATATTCATGGTAAATGTTACCATATATACCATACATGGATCCTATGGGATATGCTCCATGTGTGGTATATGTTGGTAAATATTCCATACATGGAGCATATGGGTTATAATTCGGATTGATTGTCCAGCTCCGGGACTCTATTTTTACTTTTGCTGATTGTTGGGATGAGGATTTGTGGGCTGACCGAAGACAATGCATAGAGTTGATTCTTTGGGATGTTTGCTTGATTGAGGCCCCTAGAATCTAACACGGATCGCAAGAAAAGGGTGTGTAAGATGAATTTCCGTCATATAGAGGTTTCCGTTTTGTCATGGGTGTACCCCCAGTCATCATCCATTTTAGATTCGGATTTTCCATGAAATCAACCAAAAACATTTTTGGGGATTCCCTCATGACTATGGAAACCTCCATCTGGCTTCATGTGTGGCTGGCTGGCGGTTTGGATTATGAATCTTATTTTTCCATTCAGTTGGGAATTTCATCATCCCAACTGACTTTCACTCCATCATTTTTCAGAGAGGTTGAAACCACCAACCAGATGAGAAATGATGGTTTTCATGATTTTTTTTTGGGGTTATGATGAGTCAGCTGATCCCTTCCCCCTTTCTTGGCTTCCCCAGGTAGGTATACCAACCACCAACCAGGTGGTTTCTGGCGATGTTCCATGGATTTCGGAGGGGTCATCCCACGGCTCCAAATCGGTCGGTGCCCCCGTGGCCACGAGAACGCTAAGTTGGGGTTCACATAACTCCAATGTCACTATGGTTTATGGTAGATATATCTATAGTTAATGGGGTTAATAAACCAACTTATAACTGGGGGGCACCACCTTATAATGGGGGTTTATGGTAGATATATCTATAACACTATAACTATGGTTTATGGTACTTATAACGAACTAGTTCCTGGGGCGAATCTAAACCAACTTATCACGTTTGGGGGGCACCACCTTGACTTGTAAGTGGTTTTCAAAAAAAACTGGGGAAAGAATGTCCCTGATCCAAAAAACTGGGAAAATCCCATTTGTTGAAATGGCTAACCCCAGTTGCTCACCAGTCACGGGATAAAATCCTCCTGAGGAGTCTGGTTTCGAAGAGGCGGGGATCCGAGGGAAATGGGATTGTGAAAAAACAGGTTGAAACACATGGGAGTCGCCACAGAACATGGATTTCACCGTGATTTCACGAAGAATATAACCCATGACGGATCCATGGTGCTGGTATATTTGCTAACATTTGGGGTATATGGATGGTAAATGTTAGCATATATATCATACATGGATCCTATGGGTAAAGATGAATCACCTTTAATATTTAAGCCATCAAGATCTATATAGTGACTGTTCAAAGAATATCGAGATGAAAAAAGATGTGGCAACACAGCAAGCATGCGGATGTGACCTACACAGTAGCTTAAAGCCGGAAACATGGAAACTTCACCACCACCTTGGGAGCTTTCACCCAAGGTGTTTGACCAGCAAAGTGATGAGTGCATGGCCTCCAAATCTAACGAACATGGTCTCCGGATTCCGAATCCATTTTGGAGCCCTGAAAATGTCTGGTTTAAGCCGGGCTGAAAATCACCTTCGACTCAGTTTGTTGCCATGATTTTTTTGGTCGAAGGGCTGGGCAATGGCGGAGAAAGCCAGGCCGCGCATCGTAGCCGAACGCCATCGTCTTTCCTTCGGCCATTGCCACCGAGATCCCCATCTGAATGATCCACCGTTCAGTCGACATGGAGCCTCCGAGCTCGGAGTTGGCGGTTCCCATCCTTGCAGCAGGCGCTTCCCCAATACCTCAGTGGAACTTCTGGCAAAATCAGAGGAGAAACCTGAGAAGTCCCCAAACTTGGCTACCTTTTGGGTGATCTAATCGAACTTTCGGTCAAAAAGTTCTCTAGAAATCCGGGATGTTCCGTCACCAGCGTACAGCTACCAGAGTAAACAAGCCTACTCGCCGGTTGCTACCAGGTATGTTCATCCCACTCACACCCCAAATGCGTTTAATTGCTTGAAACGGGAAAATTATCATCCGGCAGCTAGCAATCTCACAAAAGTTCGGTGTTCAGCTGATTTTCCATAGTTAGGTCATGTGGTAAAATATGATTTAAGAAAAAACAACAATCCCCAAAATCACCATAAATGGGTTGTAGAAACCATCACCAAACTGGGTCAACCCTGGTTAGATGATTACTCTGATACTTTCATCGGTTGCTATCAAGGGTCAAACCAGCATTACAAGAAAAAACGATCTTTTGACATAAGGTTGATTATTGTAAACTAATCAACCAATAATCAACCAACAATCAACCTAAAATAATCTAAGGTTCACCATGCACATGTTATAGGTTGATGATTGGGCCCACATGGTGAATCTCAGGTTGCTGAGATCCCGATGATGAATCCCCGTGATGAAATCCCCCCGTGCCAGGAGGTTTACTAACCCATGAAATACCCTCTGGTGAACTAACATAGCTATGGAAAATCACCATTTTTGATGTGTAAATCAAGTATAAATGGCCATTTTCAATAGCAACATGTTCGTTTACCAGAGGGTACATCCAAGAATTTGTTTTTTGTTCATGGTATTTCATGGCACCCAACTCCAGCCCCGGGACCCATACGGCCAACCCTTTCGCATCAGGCTAAAGCCCACCATATTCCCATTCTAGTTCGTTAAGGCCCGTAATGTGTCCATCATTTGGTTTTTTTCCAATCAAATCCCATCAAGCTCCATGTGTTTCCCATGTTTTTGCATGTATTTCCCATGAAAGAACTTCGAAAATCGCCTGACGACCCAGCAGATGGCAGGGAGCGGATCGGCCGTTGGCACATGATCCCATGGTGCTACAAGCCTTGGGATCCAACGGCGAAGCCATCGGAGACGACTTGGATGCTCGGCTAAAAAACGGCGCCTTAGGCGCCGCAACCGCGCGGCACAACGGTGGCGGTGTCTGGTGGGTTTTTGTAGGTTCAAGGTGTGGTTGAATTGGAGAGAGGTGGGATATATAGGATAATTATATAGGATATATATATATATACATAGAGTATAGAGGATATATAGAATATATGGGATATGTAGGATATGAAGCATATATGGGATGATTTTACTTGACCAACAAAAGTCTGGGGATAAGCATCAACAATGGTGGTTTGATGGCCTGATGTGGAAGATTTGACCGTCAAAATATGGGGACTATATTGGCAATAATAGGGATTAATCATCAACAAATGGGATTCACGACATGGGTGTGTTCAGAAATGCTACTCTCTGGTAAATTCACTTGTTGACCCCGAAAAGACACCATTTTTCGTGGTTTCACTCATCTTCCAACCCCTGCCAGGGTCTATGTGAATTTACTGGAGGATATATATCATTATAAACCCATTTACTATCATTATAGACCCTGAAAATCACCAATTTTTAGTGGTTTCACTAATCTTCCAACCCCTATTTGGCAGGGTATATGTTAATTTTCCCATCATTACCCAAACTATTAGCCAGCGTTGCTGGGAAAATTTCGTCAAGCCAAGGGATGTGCCCCGTGGTATTCCAGCTATGATGGGTGGATGTTGATCCCGTTTCTGAAGACACCAACAAGGTGGTGCCCCCCCCAGTTATGAATGGGTTATAAGCCCATGAATACTATAGATATATCACCAACAAAAACCATAGTGAAATTGGAGGTATGTTCACCAACTTAGCGTTCTCGAACGGGGGCACCACCTTGCAAGTACTTGCTGATTTCATCCTCATGATTCCCATGGTAATCCCTAAAAGAATCGTGGATACATCTGGTGAAATCCCATGGAAATCAGCCAAAAAAATCCCCATGAAATTCACCATTTTATCATTTTCCACTGGTGAAATCACCATTTTCCAACGGTTTCTATTGGTGTACCCTCTGGTAAACATACAAAAAGCTATTGAAAATTGTCCTAGAAATAGTGGATTTATCCATTAAAAATTGTGATTTTCCAGTTCGTTATGTTAGTTATATTTATAGTTATGTTAGTTATATTTATAGTGGATTTTCCATAGTTATCTTAGATTTTCCTATGGTTTCTATTGGTGTAGCCATGTATCATCCATGGCTTTGGTGGATCTTTCCCAGCCCCGGATCTCGAGCTTCGCAAGGACAGAGCCATCGCCGTCCTCAAGCCTCACCTCGAACCGCAGCGCTGATGCTGGGACGCAAAATCTGTGGGAACGCAACAAGACTCTGATAGCTTCTGGTAAACTAACATAGCTATGGAAAATCATCATTTTTAATGAAAAAAATCAAGTATAAATGGTGATTTAATGGGATGTAATGGGATTTTGATAGTGATTTAATGGGATAGTAATGGGATAGTAATGGGATAGTAATGGGAATGCTGATCTAATGGGACCCATTACTCTAATGGGTACTCTGGACCCTCTTCGGGAATCCCTACTATCTATCCCATTTATCAAGACTCTGGTAGCATCTGGAGTATGGGACAGTAATGGGATTTAATTGAATTTAATGGGATGTTATAGTGATTTAATGGGATAGTAATGGGATATAGCCTCTGGTAATGACTAACATACCTATTGAAAATGGCCATAGAAATAGTTGATAAAGTCATTACCCTCTGGTAAACTGTCACATAACTATGGAAAAACATCATTTTTAATGGGAAAATCAACTATTTCCATGGCCATTTTCAATAGCTATGTTAGTTTACCAGAGGGTAGATTCTGATAAATGATGGGTGAATTCCTGAGGATGTTGATATATTTTGATTCTGAGTTGGTTCCAGAAATATACATAATTATATATATACTTGGTTGGTGGTTTGGAACATGAATTTTATTTTTCTATATATTGGGAATTTCATCATCCCAATTGACGAACTCCTATTTTTCAGAGGGGTAGGTATACCACCAACCAGATTATTATATAACAACTATTAACCATATATATATATATACACAATATACAATATACAATATACCCTCTGGTAAATTAAAATAGACCCTGGCAGTCATCGGGGTTGGAAGATTGGTTTCCATTAAAACTAGGCTATTTTCAGGGTCAACAAGTTAATTTACCGGAGCGTACATAAGTTTATATACATATATAATATATATATATATGTGCTGATAGCAACCCCAATCAGTGGTTGAATTCTACGGGTGAATTTCTGGAGATGACTGGAGGTTTCCGTTTTGTCATGGGGAAATTCCCCAATAGAAACCACACATGAAGCCAGATGGAGGTTTCCATAGTCATGGGGGAATCCCCAAAAATGTTTTTGGTTGATTTCATGGAAAATCCGACTCTAAAATGGATGATGACTGGGCTTACCCCCATGACTTAGCGCCGGTGAATTCTATGGGTGAAGTCCTAAAGGTCGAAAAATCAGAAGAACTGACGGTTAATGGCCGAACATCAAGCCTAGGTCACAGAATTGGATGATGGGAAAATTTACAGGAAAACCCTATATTTGATGGTAAAAAGCATGGTTTCCTGTAGATTTTCCCTTGAACCAATCCATTGACTAGGGGTAACTCGGCCATCGAAAAATCAAGGGCTTTCTACCTCGGCTGGTTTGTTTTGGCACATGTCAGGGATGGCTTTGTTTCCATCCTGGGGTGTTTACCCTCGGGCAAATTTAACAATTTCATGTGGGAAATCACCGTTTTTCATAGGGCATGATCGGTAAATCCTCTACAAATAGGCAATGTATCACAGCAAACTATGAAATTACCAGAGGATATATCCCCATTGTCTATTATTCATCCATTATTCTTGGTTGTTTTCCATTATCAACCACTACTGGTTGGTGCTTTGGAACATGTTTTCCATTCTGTTGGGAATTTCATCATCCCAACTGACGAGTTGTCCATCATTTTTCAGAGGGGTGGCTTTTCAAACCGCCAATCAGATAGGGTGTTCAGTTGGGTACATCTTGGGGTACACCTTGGTGTGACATGGACAATTCCTAAAATACGGCTACCCCTAGTCATCATGGGGCCCCCCAGTGACACCCCATTAGCTATTGTTATAAGTATCATAAACCATAGTTATTGGAGTTATAAGACAACTTAGCTATCGTTTGGGGGCCCCACATTGTAGTCATCATCCATTTTAGATTGGGGTTTTCCATGATAAATCAGCCAGCGATAAAGGGGTACTCCCATGACTATGGAAACCTCCAAATATTCATCGGATGACGATCAAAGCTTGGGTGTGTTCGCCGTCGAATTTTTTGGGGAAGCTTCATCAACAAGAATGTGGGATATGAACCGGTGTTTACCCTCTGGTTAACATAGCCATGGAAAGATCCATCATTTTTTATCGGTAAACCCAGGTAAACCATCTATAAATGGGCCATTTTCCATGGCTATGTTAAATAACCAGAGGGTATATTCAAAAAAAAACGACTAGGTTACTGGAGTTCTTTGTTTGTGAGCCATAGTGAAGGAATCTACGGACTAAAATCTACTTTTCCACTCAAAAATAACTTGTGGGGTTAGGGAATCATACATGAAAAAATGGGTTCCTCTAGCGTCTCAATGAGGATGTGGTTCTTTTTTTATATACACAATGATGAAACCAACATTTCACCATTTACAAATGATATGCGAGGCTTCTCCTGGAAAACAGTTGGTTGATGTAAATGACTGACGAAGTAAGGTTTAGACTGGGATATTCCTTTCCAGATACCCTTTGGATCCCTTTGGTCATTTACTAGTTTGCTATGGAAAAGCACCATGTTTTGGTAAATCATCTATAAGTAAGCTTTTTGTCCTTAGCTATGGCATTTTTTTCTGGATGGTGTCAATCGGTTTCGAGGTCCAATACATCGACATGTTGTGGGAGGTTTTGGGAACCCAGAGGCCTATTCCAGGCTGCCGACAGAAGCTTTGTTTTCGAAGTGGTCGCGGTCGAGGACTTCGATGATATTTCCGGAGGTCTTCTGATGGAACCCATCTTGCCAGTTCGATGGATGGACGTGATATTTCGGGGGACAAGCAGAAGATGAATCGAACAAGTTCCCGTTTGGGCGTTCGGAATGGAAAGCCAAGACGAAAGAGGCTTTGCTTGCTCACGAGTCTCACGAGCTCTTCTCAGCTACACCTTGGGAGATGGTGAAAGCTCTTTTTTCAGCTTGGTGACAGATTTGCCGAAGCTGGGTGGTGACTATCCTCTGACGGCATCTTTGACATCTCGCCAAAGTTTGCAAAAAGACATTGTGCCACAGTGCCACCAAATATGAGTTAATGTCAACCCCGGACTAATAAACCATGGTTTATTAATTAGGAGGGTACTTCTCCAATAGTCATAGTCTGATACTTAAATGGTACCCTCCCACTTAAACAGCCTAGAGGTTTATTAATCCAGGGTTGCCACAGAAATCCAGGCACTTGTTGGAAAGTGGTTTACTTTGGGTGCACATTGCTGCTGCCGACTATGTTCCAAGTTTGATGCAGGCATACTCATTTTTACAAGAGCTTTTCTTCTAGATTAGATAGTTCTAGAGACTGATGTACATGTTTATATACGTATGCAATTTCTATATCCTGGCTGGTGTGTGTGGTAGCTTCATGGATCAATTTCATGCCATAAATGAAGGAATCTGATATCCAACTAAAACAAAGATTTGTCGACATACACACCTTTTTAGTTGCTTAAATCCATAAAAACAACTTCGTCCCATCTGATATCCACAAATAAAATCTATGCAGTTTTTATTGCTTCTAAGTCATACCCAATCTTGCCGTACAGCACGCATGTATGTGTATATAGCCACCCTCAAGCAGAGAGAGAATGGGATCTCCGAAAAATCTCCACATTTTGGAGACATCCATATTCTACTCCAGGATGGCTATCTCTAAATACCAACCCTGAAAAAGATGCTGAAACATATTTCCAGGATGGTTTGTTGATGATGTTTCCTCCATCATTCCTAGGTTCGTCGCCATTTTTCAGCATTTTTGGTTGGAGGTTATTACCCTCCATGGGGGCTTACCCACCATGAAAGTAGATCATCTCAGGGGAAACCATGGGGGTTTCCACATCTTGGATATAATCCCATTACATCTGACTGAAACATCATTAAATCACTATTCTTGGGGTTACTATATCCCATACAAATACATATGTATATAATCATTATTAGTAGTAGTCGTAGTATTATTACTGTATGGGATTAACAAACCTGGTCGATACTAATACATATTTGGTTGGTGGTTTGGAATATTTTTTATTTCTCCATATTATATTGAGAATAATCATCCCAACTGACTAATATTTTTAAGAGGGGTAGGTGTACCACCAACCAGATATATACATATATATATACACACATACTGTTGTGTGGTTTTTTTTTACTCCTGCCTTGCGCGTAAATGACCAAAAGCAACAGGAAAATTAGAAGCGCGCGTTGGCGCCATCACCAGGAAGCCTTTGAAATTTGGTGTGTTTTGAAGCAACTGTTTGAGTCTCATAGGGTTTTGAATGGAAGGGTGATGAGAAAAGTAGAGGTTGGTGGGTTCTTGAAGAAAACTAAGCATGTTGTGTAGCCAATGTTGTGAAGGGCGGCCTCTTGTTGTCTTTTGTGTTGCAGCAATACGATCCCTGTAGGCTGAGCTAAAAATGACGTGATGATATGGATCGTCCGGCGGAGTGGCCAACACTTCAAGTAAAATTTCCGTTTGTTGTTTAAGGACTATTTGAGACGCTGTGGTTGGTTTACCTGCCCTCTGCCAAACCGTAAAGTTAGAAACTCTTGAAATATAGGAAGCTGGTATTCCTAAAACCCTACGAAGGAGTCGAAAGTAATAGCCGTCGATTAATTTAAAATGTTTGTGCGCAAGCGTCAGACAGTTCAACCCATAGGTCAAAGAAGACACAACTACTGAGTGGAAAATACAAAGCTTCGTTGTTTGTGGGAGCCGGCTGTTCCAAACTAGTCTAATGGATTGGAGCGCTGTCCGAGCTATTGAAAAACGTGCGGCTATAGCTGTTTCGGTAGGGTGATCCCATGTAACGACCGAGCCTAAATATTTCACAATGGTTGTGATTGGGACAGGTTGACCGTTGGCGAAGTTCATGGCTGCATCAGATTGGATGAGCACAGACAATGATTGTTTGAGCCGGGCAAGTGCTATCACCATGTCATCATTGAGAAAGTCAGTTCGGGAGACTTATATACTATTCTCGGTGGCGTGAGGTGGACCACAGCATAACCTCAGCAGAAGACTACATTGGCTGCACAATGGACAAAGACCAGATGTCTTGGCCGCCAAAGCCGCCTTACTCGGACAATCGCTGCAGAGAACTGGCTGAAGAAGGCCAAATCTGGATGAAGTGGTTACTCGAGAACCACCCAAATCCAGTTAGAGCAACACCGACCGCAGCAAATGTAGCTCGCATGGCTGAGCTTGATGCCGGAGAATTGCGACATGTTCCGACACAAAGGCGACGACTCGAAGCCAAGGGCTGTTGTGTGGTTCCAGAAATATATATATATATATCCCATACAAATACAGATACATAATATATACATATATATATATAGCGAGGTCTTTCCAAACGTCGGTTTGACCGAGGTTTTCAGCGAGGTTCTCAACGAGACAAGCAGAAACTGCTGGAGGCCCTGGAGCGATTGGAGGAGCCCTGCAGCTGACGGAAGTTTTTAGGGAGTCCATGGTGAAAAGAATGGAAGAAATAGATGGAAAATTAGGATATTAATGTCCTGTTGGATTAATTCATAGATGGAAAATCCCATTAATTATATTTAATTATGACATATGATATTCATTGATGGGATATGTTCATGGGATTAATTGGAATCATATGTCATGTTGATTTTGTTGGGATATACTTATATATGTATATATATATCAACTAATACAGGATGGGGCCCCCAAGATAGCTAAGTTGCCTTATAAGTGGCTTTATGGTAGATATAACTATAGTTAATAGGGGTTATAATGGTTTATAAACCCACTTATAACTGGGGGGCCCCATCCTGTATGAATCTGGAGCTATATATTTGTGGATTCAAATGGGGATAAAACAAGGTGATGCCCCAGTTTAGACTCGCTTAGTTGGTGAACATAACTCCAATTTCCACGTTTGGGTTGATTAGGTACATATATCGAACTACTAATAATGGTTAATGGTGGTTAATAATGGTTAATAATGGTTAAAACCACCAACCATATATATATATATTATATCTGGGTAAATTATAACGACCCTTTGGTATTTAACTATAGCATCCCAAAATGGTTACTCTGGTATTTATCTATTTCCCAAAAATTGGGATGCTGTTTGTCCCAGAAACCCAGCAAGTCGATGATCCCCCAAGGAGCTGTTCATGGCTGTTTGTGGCCGTTGTGAATGGCATACATGAATGGTAATCCCACAAGGTGGTGCCCCCCCCAGTTATAAATGGTTTAATAAGCCCATGAATACTAGTTTGATATAGCACCAACAAAAACCATAATAACATTGGAGGTATGTGAACCCCAACTTAGCGTTCTCGAACGGGGGCACCACATTGCAGTGACTCAGCAGTTACGAAACAGTTACGAAAAAGTATGTATCTCCTACTTTTTGATGCTTATCCCCACCATTAGTGTCATACAATATCCCCACAAGCCCCAAAAAAATCACCACAACGGCTAAATTTCATATCCGAATTTCAATCCCAGCATCCCATACTCCATGGAATCCCATCATGGAAAATACCCTCTGGTAAACTGTCACATATCACATAACGAACTGGAAAGATCCACCATTTTTTATGGGTAAATCCACTATTTCTATGGCCATTTTCAATAGCTATTTTGACATTACCAGAGGGTAGCTAGGAAAATGATGATTTTCCGTTTCAACAAAAACAAAAGGATTCAACTAGCCAAGGTTGGGGATGCTATAATCCTTAAGATCACCAGAAAAACTATGGAAAGATCCACCATTTTTAATGGGTAAATCCACTATTTCTATGGCCTTCAGATGATCTTCTGCCCCCAGGAGCGCCTGGAGCAGCTCTTCCGCGGCTGCGCGCTGAGCCGCGTCAAGGTGGGTGGCCTGGTGATGACGCAGCACCCGCAGCAGAGCGAGGGCGCCGCGCGCTCGGCTGCGGCGTGGCTCGGCGCTGTTCAAGGGGGGCCGTGCACCCGGGAACTGGGGGGAAAATGGCAGCTTTCCCTGGGGAAAATGGGGAGAAAATGGGAGTTGTTAGCCATGAAAGATATGAAAATTGGAGCGAAAATGAAGGATTTTAGCATGATGTAGACATCAGAACCATGGGTTTTTCACGGAAAGGGTGTGGATTTTTCACCAAGCGAAGTCGACATTTGATCCATCAAAGATGGGGGATGTAGCTCAAAATTCATGGTGATTTGAACATCAAAAAGGATGGGTTTTCCTCATGAAACATGGTGACATTTAAAAGGTAAAAATGTATGGAACATTATCATGGTTTAAATAAGTTAAATACGATGGGTTAATCGGTACTTAATATGATGGGTTAATCATAGAGTTATCAAGAACACTACAGGAATCCGTGAGCCGACCGACTTGATCAATAGATGGTTTTCCCAAGAGTAATCAGTAGTAATCCCCGGTATTTTCCGGAAGATGAATCATGATGAATCCAGAGTTTCGGGCTCAACTCGTTGATCCCGTATGCGAACCATGGTGCTGGTATATTTACCCAAATGTTGGTAAATATTCCATACATGGAGCATGTGGGGATGGTATTGTTCATGGTGTGTAGACCCTTATCGAGATATCAGGGGGATGGAATTCATTCGCCACTTATTCATTGGTATTTCCGACGGTTATTCCTTTTATTTTATCATGATTTGAATCATGTCAACCCTGGATGAATAAACCCCGTTTACGGCTGTTTTAATTGGGAAGGTACCATCAAAAAGTATGAGATTGCCGCTCTGTGGGGCATACCCCCGAATGAATCAACCATGGTTTTTCTTAATCCGGAGATGACATTATATGGTTTCCACTATTTGGTTTCCAACTACAACTAGTTGCTTCCATCTGAAACTCAGGATCCGTTCAATCAATTGTTGTTTGAAGTCCATTCAATACCCAATTTTGGGTTTATATTATAACTATTATAAGATGACCAAGGACCATGCTTGATTTTTCTTCGTCGAAGAGACTGCCCTACCGCTCCCCACGCCCTTCCCACGTCTTCGAGGATCAAACTTCTCCACGGCGCGGTCCAGAGTTTCATCGTGGTTTGTAAACAACTGGTTCCTTGGCGCCGAGCCGGGAGGGAGAGCCGAGGAGAGCCGAATGCAGGGCTTAGAATGGATGGATGGGACGACCAGCCTGGCCTGGATTTTCCAATTTTGATGATAGAAACAATGAAACAGGTGGTTAAACAGGTGGTTAAACAGGTTGTTAAACAGGTGGTTAAACAGGTTGTTAAACAGGTGGTTAAACAGGTGGTTAAACAGGTGGTTAAACAGGTGGTTAAACAGGTTGTTAAACAGGTGGTTAAACAGGTTGTTAAACAGGTGGTTAAACAGGTTGTTAAACAGGTGGTTAAACAGGTGGTTAAACAGGTGGTTAAACAGGTTGTTAAACAGGTGGTTAAACAGGTGGTTAAACAGGTGGTTAAACGGTTGTTAAACAGGTGGTTAAACAGGTTAAACAGGTGGTTAAACAGGTGGTTAAACAGGTTGTTAAACAGGTGGTTAAACAGGTTGTTAAACAGGTGGTTAAACAGGTTGTTAAACAGGTGGTTAAACAGGTTGTTAAACAGGTGGTTAAACAGGTGGTTAAACAGGTGGTTAAACAGGTGGTTAAACAGGTTGTTAAACAGGTGGTTAAACAGGTTGTTAAACAGGTGGTTAAACAGGTGGTTAAACAGGTGGTTAAACAGGTGGTTAAACAGGTGGTTAAACAGGTTGTTAAACAGGTGGTTAAACAGGTGGTTAAACAGGTGGTTGGTTAAACAGGTGGTTAAACAGGTTGTTAAACAGGTGGTTAAACAGGTTGTTAAACAGGTGGTTAAACAGGTTGTTAAACAGGTGGTTAAACAGGTTAAACAGGTTGTTAAACAGGTGGTTAAACAGGTGGTTAAACAGGTGGTTAAACAGGTGGTTAAACAGGTTGTTAAACAGGTGGTTAAACAGGTGGTTAAACAGGTGGTTAAACAGGTTGTTAAACAGGTGGTTAAACAGGTGGTTAAACAGGTGGTTAAACAGGTGGTTAAACAGGTGGTTAAACAGGTGGTTAAACAGGTGGTTAAACAGGTTGTTAAACAGGTGGTTAAACAGGTGGTTAAACAGGTGGTTAAACAGGGTTAAACAGGTGGTTAAACAGGTGGTTAAACAGGTGGTTAAACAGGTGGTTAAACAGGTGGTTAAACAGGTGGTTAAACAGGTGGTTAAACAGGTGGTTAAACAGGTTGTTAAACAGGTGGTTAAACAGGTGGTTAAACAGGTGGTTAAACAGGTTGTTAAACAGGTGGTTAAACAGGTGGTTAAACAGGTTGTTAAACAGGTGGTTAAACAGGTTGTTAAACAGGTGGTTAAACAGGTTGTTAAACAGGTTGTTAAACAGGTGGTTAAACAGGTGGTTAAACAGGTTGTTAAACAGGTGGTTAAACAGGTGGTTAAACAGGTGGTTAAACAGGTTGTTAAACAGGTGGTTAAACAGGTGGTTAAACAGGTGGTTAAACAGGTTGTTAAACAGGTGGTTAAACAGGTTGTTAAACAGGTGGTTAAACAGGTGGTTAAACAGGTGGTTAAACAGGTTGTTAAACAGGTGGTTAAACAGGTGGTTAAACAGGTGGTTAAACAGGTGGTTAAACAGGTTGTTAAACAGGTGGTTAAACAGGTTGTTAAACAGGTGGTTAAACAGGTGGTTAAACAGGTGGTTAAACAGGTTGTTAAACAGGTGGTTAAACAGGTGGTTAAACAGGTGGTTAAACAGGTGGTTAAACAGGTTGTTAAACAGGTGGTTAAACAGGTTGTTAAACAGGTGGTTAAACAGGTGGTTAAACAGGTGGTTAAACAGGTGGTTAAACAGGTTGTTAAACAGGTGGTTAAACAGGTTGTTAAACAGGTGGTTAAACAGGTGGTTAAACAGGTGGTTAAACAGGTTGTTAAACAGGTGGTTAAACAGGTGGTTAAACAGGTGGTTAAACAGGTTGTTAAACAGGTGGTTAAACAGGTGGTTAAACAGGTGGTTAAACAGGTTGTTAAACAGGTGGTTAAACAGGTGGTTAAACAGGTTGTTAAACAGGTGGTTAAACAGGTGGTTAAACAGGTGGTTAAACAGGTGGTTAAACAGGTGGTTAAACAGGTGGTTAAACAGGTGGTTAAACAGGTTGTTAAACAGGTGGTTAAACAGGTGGTTAAACAGGTGGTTAAACAGGTTGTTAAACAGGTGGTTAAACAGGTGGTTAAACAGGTGGTTAAACAGGTGGTTAAACAGGTGGTTAAACAGGTGGTTAAACAGGTTGTTAAACAGGTGGTTAAACAGGTGGTTAAACAGGTGGTTAAACAGGTTGTTAAACAGGTGGTTAAACAGGTGGTTAAACAGGTGGTTAAACAGGTGGTTAAACAGGTTGTTAAACAGGTGGTTAAACAGGTGGTTAATAGTGGTTAACCTGGTTGGTGGTGACTGGAACATGAATTATATTTTTTCCATTCAGTTGGGAATGTCATCATCCCATTTGACGAACTCCATCATTTTTCAGAGGGGCGGCGAAAAACCACCAACCAGTTGCTGCGGTAGACACAGGTGATCTCTTCACCAACATGGATGAACATTTCGAAACATTTCGGCTGAACATGGGAAACCCACAGAACTTGCGAACTTGAAAATAGCCATTGAACTATTGAGTTCGTTGATTTTTCCCATGATACATGGTGATTTTCCATCGTTTTTTGTAGGTTTACCAGAGGGTAAGCTGTGTTTAAACCTTCAAGACTCCGAGTCATCGGGCAAAGCTGCAGTACGCGGGCTACTCCAGTGACTCTAAACACACACTGATTAGACATGGCGATACCATAGCTATGGTGGTGCCCCCGTTCGAGAACGCTAAGTCAGTGAACATACCTCCAATTTCACTATGGTTTTTGTTGGTGATATATCGAACTAGTTCATGCACTTATAAACCATTTATAACTGGAGGGGGCACCACCTTATAGAACTGAAAGAGGCATTTTTCCAAAGATTCCTCGAATTTTGCGAGGAAAAGGAATAGAACATGGTAGATCATCGACATCGGGGTCAAACATACCAGAAAATGCGATGGTCACAGGGGTCTTCCTGACTTCCCAGCTTCCCAACATTTCTCGGAAGAATGTTGCAGGACAAATCCTGAAACGGAAAAGTACAAATGAGCATCAGCAGTTTCTGCCCATCAGATGTGTGTGCGTAAAAGCCATTCTAAAAGAGGTATACCCTCTGGAAATTGAACAGTTTGCGAACTGGAAACTTCCATGTAGGTAAATCATCGAACTAAATGGGCCATTTTCAATAGTTACCCTCTGGTAAATTAACATAGATCCTGAAAATCACCCCTATGTATACTGGTTTCACTCATCTTCCAAGCCCTATCTGCCATTATTTATTTACTGTATGTTCGTCTACTGGATGGCACCCAGTGTTCACCCACCACGATGGATGTTTGACAAAAGTTGGCTGATGAGCGATATCCGCCAGCTAAGGAGGGATGTGTGCACCTCAGAGACGGCGGTGTCTGCAATGTGATTTTGGGGTTCCCACAGAGAGATTGGAAAACAAATAAGATATGTTTTTAATGATTTAAGATGATTAAAAAATGAGTATGGAATTACATGATTTTATACATGGTTTTATAGGGATAATAATGGGATATATATATATAACAATGTAATTCCATATCAGTATGGATAATTACATATATCCCTATAAAACCATACATTATATTAGTGGGATAATAATGGGATAAAACCATGGGTGCTGCAATTGGAGTTAGTGAAACTGCCACCCGCCTCTCAAGTGCCTTGGTAAATGTTCCGGCCGGCCTTTTTAGGGGATAATTTGAACATCACGTGTTAACACATTTATAAATGACATTATATCCATTACCCCCTGGTAAATTAACTTGTGGACCCTGAAAATAGCCAATTGTTAATGGAAACTAGTCTTCCAACCCCGATGACTGCCAGGGCCTATGTTAATTTACCAGAGGGTAATATACATCCCCCTTTTTTGTTTGGTGATGTTGAATTGGGAGATTCACCAAGCCCTTTTCATAACTCGTTTGCACATGGCATCCACCATATTTGGCAGTAAATCCCAGCTATTTGGAGGTTTTTCACAGAGTTCCAGGCCTTTGATTCATAGCCATATTGTGATCATTTACCCTCTGGTTATGTCAAAATAGCTATTGAAAATACTCCATAGAAATCGTTCATTTACCTATTCAAAATGGTGATTTTCTATAGTTAGCTGACAGTTTACCAGATAATTTAGGTTCCATATGTGGGACCTGGAGCAAATTTGCACCGAAAATCACGGCGTTCTTTGGACGTAGGGGTCCCACTGCTTCCCATCCAAGACGGATCCTGAACGGGGGAAACCGACAAATATGGGGATTTAACCTATATGTTTTCATCCAAAATAGTGATATGTCATGGGTATACTAAGATAGTGTTCAGTTGCCTAAAAAAGGTGGCTGAATTCTATGGTTTATGGTAGATATAGTAGATATAACGAACTAGTTAATGGAGGTTTGTTCATGGTTTAGAAACCAACAAACATAACTGGGGGGCCTCCTGTAGTTTGTGATTTCAGCCATTTTATGCCCAGTTTTAGGATGGTCCCGGAGCTCGAAATCACCTGATGATGCGCAAAAAAATGTGCTTAGTAAGACCTATGACGCGCGTCACTTAGTTATGTTGATTTCACATAGTATTGAAAATGACCCAGTCGAAATAGTGGATTTTCCCATTGATAGCATGGTGGATCTTTCCAGTTCGTTATGTGACAGTTCACCAGAGGGTAATGACTTTATACAAAAGCGTCACTTGGTTTTGTTGATTCACAGCAAATTTGCTCTTGGAATCTTCAAACAAAATAAGAAAAAAGCGGAGGACACCACACGCCAATGCGTGTGAAATCCAGGGATCAACACAGGTAATTTTAACCACGCTTGTGTCAGATTACACTCTGGTAAACTAACATAACAAACTGGAAAATCACCATTTTTAATGGGAAAAACCACTACAAATGGCAATTTTCAATAGCTATTTTGACATAACCAGAGGGTAGTCGTGGGTAAAACTGGAGCTTTCACCATGTGATTTCACCACCGATTAATTTCGGGGAGGAGTTCAGCAGTGAAACACCTGGTCTGAGCAACAAAAATGTGGCCTTGTGACCAGTCAAAAATACCCTCCAGTAAACTACGTAACATAACGAATTGAAAAGATCCCCCATGCTATCAATGGGAAAACTCCACCATTTCGACTGGGTCATTTTCCATAGCTATGTTAAATTACCAGAGGGTATCGTTTTCACATGTCTTGACCAGCAAAAACCAGTGACTTTTGACAACTCCAAGCCCTTCACACGGCTGAATTTTGAGGCACAGAAGATTTAGATCACCAGCTGAAAGTGACACTGAGTTGCTGGGGCGAGCGGAACCGGTGATGTGATCTCTGGTGTAGAAATCGGTTCAAATTATGGGGATTGAAGCATCCAAAATGGTGGTCTAAATGGGGATGTAATAGGGATATATTGGGGATATATTGGGGATGTAATGGCTGGTTGGTGGTTTCAAACATGAAATTTATATTTTCCATTTCATATATGGGACAATCCACCAACCATTGACGAACTCCATCATTTTTCAAGATTGTTAAAACCGCCAACCAAAATGGAATACGGACGGAATATAATCGGAATACTGATAACCCTTTGGTAGTAAAGAAAATAGGATCTCAATGGGAGATGAATTCAAAATGGGATATACTCAGCCGTGTTTGATTACGAGAGGATCACATCAAAATAGCTGGTAGGTGCTGGTAGTTATGAATGTTCATCACCCTAAATTCTTGGAAGTCATAGAGTCATAGGTTTTGAGGAAATCGCCAGAAGTTACCAAAAAATTGCCCATCAGCCCAGTACTGAATAAGAATACTGAGAAGTAATGAATAGCAATGACCATGGTAATGACAAACGCAGATCCATCATGATCCATCAAATTCAAGGTTCAGATTCCGAAACCTCTGCCTCAGAAGAAGTTTCTTGGCTGCAATGGCGTATTTTTTTGGTCGCTCCTATGATCTTAACATTTTTGGTGGATGCCTCCCATGATGTCTTCAAAGTGCAAGAAAAGGAGGTACCATCTGGTAATGACAACATGGCTTGCTTGAAATATGATAAATATGTCATGTGTAGGTAGTTTGATGTTTTTCATGTTTTTTCCATTCAAACCGTCATTTATGAGGGATTTCCCAGCGAGCCATGTTTTAGGACATTGGAGGTTTTCCCAGCCACAGAAATCGAAGCGCCGAGAGGTGTGTCGGGCATTGTTCACCATGTAAAATACGATGAGAACGGAGATGTCCCGGGTTAACTATGGAATATAATATACTATGTAATATACTAATATACTAATATGGTATATTATATACCCATCAAATATTGGCTTTATAGCAGGGATAATGGTGATTCATGATCAACACCTAAATACATAGGTATTATGATGGATATTTCTTTATAGGGATTTGACCAACATATGGGGATGGTACCCTCTGATAAACTAACATAACTATGGAAAATCACGATTTTAAATGGGTAAATCCACTATTTCAATGGTCATTTTCAATAGCTATGTTAGTTTACCAGAGGGTAATGCAGATTGCGGAATCAAGCATCAACAGTGGGGGGCCCCCGCCAGCTTTTCGACTGCTCAGGATACCTTTTGCCCATGAGATCCGAAATTGGGAGGATGAGGGGTTACGGCTGGCACGCTAATTTCATGCTTGGAAGCCCACAAAGAACATGGTTTACATCCCTAGGTTTTTGGGAGGTGCCAAATGGCGGTTGTTTTTTCCCGAAAAGCCATCTTTTGGGGCTGATTCCAGGCTGAAATTCCTCAGGGTAACCCCAGTTTTTCATCGCGAGTTTGGCTAAAACTCGCAGCTTTTGTGACCGCTTGGCTTGGCGCAACTTGGCTGCAAAGTTGGCACAAGTTGCAGGTCTGAGAGAAAATCTAAAAATGCTGTGGTTTCGGTTGAAAAATCTGTGGATCTCTGGAACTAAGGTCTGAAAAAAAGTGGCTGGTAAATATCTGAAGTGAATAGAGAATGAAAATGATTAGACAAACTTAAGATTTATTATATTAATGATATAATAAACTGGCTGATTTAATGAAAATCAATCTTAATGAATCAACATATTGAATGATTTCAGCCCTATCTTTGGGCTATGTTTCATGGACAAAACGGTTGCTATCCTTGCGCTGATGTCGGAGATCCGCGGTTCATTCCAAGATCCAATGAGAGTCATCAAATGTTGAGAGTGGCAATACCCTCTGGTTACCCTCTGGTGAACTGTCACATAACTCTGGAAAGATTCACCATGTTTCTTGGGAAAATCCACTGTAAATGGTGATGTTCCATAGTTATGTTAAATTACCAGAGGGTACCCTCTGGTGAACCTATAATAATCGAACTAACGACAGATAATAATAGATAGTATGTAGATTATAGATAGATGCTAATAATATAGTTGATGATAATAGATAATAGATAATAAATAGATAATACCCCCTGGTAAATTAACATAGACCCTGAAAATCACCATTTTTTATTGTTTCACTAATCTTCCAAATCCTATCTGGCAGGGTCTATGTTAATTTACTGGAGGGTAATAGATAATAGTAGATAATAGATGATAATAATAATGGGATATGAACTAACCACTTTCTTTCTTCCATGAGCAATGAAGTCCAAGACTGCGCTCAAATGAACTAACAACGCTTGTAATGGAATATATAAGGGGTATTCTCTGGATGAATTTGATATAATATGATACAATCAACTAACAGTGGCATGATCAGGTCGCAGCATAGTTTACTGAGATAATATGAGGTATAATGGATCTTATTTGGATATATGATGGGGATACAATAGGGCCTCTAGACCATTTGTCGACATCACCAGGTTTCCATTTAAGGCTGGATTGATGGATAAGCAATTGATAACACCGACATCCTTAGGACTGGTTTAGTATTTCTCGGGTCATGTTTGATATGTTTCTTAGATGCTACCTCCAGCCAAAGATTTGTTGTGACGGCTTGAAACCACTCAGAAGCTGAAAAAGTCATTGGTTTAAGCAAGTTCGTACGGGGTAGAAAGGCGGCCGTTCCAGGGAGTTGGGTGATTGTTTTCCCACCAAAAAAATTATCACATGGGGCTTTACCAGAAATGGCATCAGCAAAAAGATACCCTCTGGTAAACCTACAAAAAACTATGGAAAATCACCATTTATAGTGGATTTTCCCATGAAAAATGGTGGATCTTTCCATAGTTATGTTAGTTTACCAGAGGGTAAGTGTTTCACCAAAACCCACGTTATTTCCCTCATTCTACCTTCAAACCTGGCCAGAGACCCAAGAGTTTCAAGAAGTAAATCATGGCGACATGGCCCACTTGGGGAATTTTGTTACCCGTTGAACTTGACGGGTTTCCTAATCCCAAACGGGTTGGTGGTTTGGAACATGAATCTTTTTTTTCCATATATTGGGAATGTCATCATCCCAACTGACTTTCATTTTTTTCAGAGGGGTTAAAACCACCAACCAGCAAAAAAATCAAGAGCTTCATGGACTTATATGGACACCCCAAAATCTTAGTACCGTGAATACATTTGCTTTACCCCACCTTTCCTATGTCATTTGAGGCATGTGGCGGTTTCCTAAAATGGGGGTAATGTCAACCCTGGATTAATAAACCCCTAGGTTGTTTAATTGAGGGGATACCATTTAAGTATCAGATTATGACTATTTGGGGAATACCCCCCTAATTAATAAACCCTGGTTTATTAATCCGGGGTTAACATTACCCCTAAATCATCCATGTTATTTTCGGATGTTCCATTATAAACCAACTAGCTATTGGGGATCCCCCATGACTATGGAACCCCCAATGTTTTAAGTGGCCAAGGTGTTGTATGTTTTCACCCTAACAACTCGTTCACCATCCTGCAGCGTTGGCTCCCCTTTCCGTCCGAGTGACGGACGATTGGCTCTGCGCCCGCAGGGATTCACATGGAAGGCGTATGAAGGCTATGTTGCCACTGTTGCCCTTATGGATTGGGGGGCCCCCAAATATAAGTTGGTTTAGATTCGCCCCAGTAACTATAGTTATAAGTACCATAAACATAGTGACATTGGAGTTATGTTCACCAACTTAGCTAACTATGGGGCACCACCTTGTATGGATTGGGGTGAGAAGTCAGCCACCCCCATTTTTTGACGATGGGATCTGGAATCCACATTGCTTCGTATTTGGATGGCCTTGGATGCACTTGATCCATTGATGGCATGAGATTTTGGGGCGCAGTTAAAACTTACATCAAACCAATTTCGCCCTTGAAAACTCCAACAAGAACCAAAAAAAGAAAGGCCCAACAAGACATCGATTTTCGAAGCAAAAAGAACCCAAATCTCATCTTGCACCAATCATTGGGTTTTAGTCTCCAACATCCAGGGCGCAGCACGTGTCAACGGACACAACTGTAGCTTTAGGGACCCCATCGCAGCCATGGAGACCGTGGGTCAAATTCGCCAAGCGCGTGCATCTCTCGCTTTTCGCACGGCCTGCTCCGTATTGATTTGTTGCATCATCAGCACGTGCCTTGGGTGAGCGATTTGCAAAATGTCCTCGGAAGCGTTGAAAAGGGACTCCCTGATCAAAAGGGGGTCAGGGGTATGAGGTGATGTGTTTTTTCTGGATCAACTGGGGTTCAAGATCTACCATAATCTGCCATTGTCCATATGTTGGTGTGAAAATCAGGGTAGGGTGAACTGACCCATAGTTAGGTAAAACTAGCAATATCCGGGGGTGTCCTCAATGGGTGATGATTGTTCTGTTCGAATCTTTAGTGACACACTGATGATATATAGGTCTGGCTTAAAATTAGGTACTAAAAGAGTTGGAGACTTGGGCTCAACAAAACGATCAGACATTTGTGGAACCCTGAGTTTTTTTATATTTTGACCGATGGCCTTGTGATTGGTCATTTGCAACTAGTGAGAGATGGACATCCAATGGTAGATGGGGAAATTGATATGAAACAGTGATACATAACCTCAAGAATCCCTGCAATTCGTAGTGAATGCAGACTATCTACGATAATTATGTCCGAGCGCATAGGTAGTTGCTGTTGCATAGTTGCAGACCCGGTTCATCTATTGAGATTGTCTAGTTTCGTGCCGAGCGTTTGAAACCTTTTACAGATCCTGAAAGCAATGGTTTCTGCTACTCAGGTATATCAATGCAATCATATTCTGGTTGGTGGTTTGGAACATGAATCTTATTTTTCCATTCAGTTGGGAATGTCATCATCCCAACTGACTTTCATATTTTTCAGATGGGTTGAAACCACCAACCAGGATTCTATAGCATGCATATGGGATTGCTAAAAAACGATACCCCTAAATCCACTGCTGATCCGGTAAGTTTCCATATGGAGGTTTCCGAAGTCAGTCATGGGGTACCCCGTTTTGTCATCCATGTACATACAGGATGGGGCCCCCCAGTTATGTTTGTTGGTTTATAAACCATAATAACCTCCATTAACTAGTTCGCTATATCTACCATAGACCTCAAAAACTACCATTATAACCTCCATTAACCATTATAACTGTAGTTACACCCCTACTGCTAAATAGTTAAGCCACTTTTATCATCCATTTTATTGGTGGATTTTCCCATATAAACCATCCAGCTATTGGGGTACCCCCATGGCTATGGAAACAGTGACCTTTGGTGACCCCCGTGTCCCCACATTCCGCCACAGCCATGCCCGTGTATCGCTTTACTTGCAAATATTAACCATGGATTTTACCCCTACGTGTATATATATATAATAAATATAATATATATATATATAATGCATATATATATATACAATACATATTGTATATATATATATATATTATACATATATATTGTACATATATATTATACATATATATTATACATATATAGTATACATATATATTATACTTATATATATATATTGTACATATATATTATACATTTATATTATATGTATATATAATTATATAATACATAGATATATATCATACATATAGATATATATATATGTTTACATGTATATATATATATTATACATATATATTATACATGTAGATTATACATGTATATAGATATACATATTTATGTATATACATGTATATATACATGTGTATATACATATATACAGTGTTTTCCCTCTAGATTTTTTCACAAATTCTGTGACAAGAGAAGCCTTCGTTGTAGGATCCTCTCTGCCAATACCTCAAAGGAGGTATTTTCCTATGCAGAGGCACAACATTCCGAGCAGCCAGTCCCAACACTTTTTGTCAGTGGTGATTTACAGCAGGTTTTGCCATGGTGATTTACAGCGATCAATCCCTGTTGTCTGCAAGTGATAATCATGCGCGTTATGACTAACATAGCGAACTGGAAAATCCCAACCATAAATGGAGGTTTCGTTCGCTGGCGAAATCATCTATTTCTATGGGCCATGGCTTCCATGGCGAACCAAAAAGCTATGGCATCTATGGGTCATACCCTCTGGTAAACTGTCACATAGCTATGGAGAATTCCACCATGCTATCAATGGGTAAATCCACTATGACTCGACTGGGGCATTTTCAATAGCTATGTTAAATTACCAGAGGGTAATGTATCATAGTGGGTCATGTATGGGTCATATGACCTGAGATAATGTCTCACTTTATTGAAATATATGACCCATGTTATATATGATGACATAATGTATCATAGGGTTTAATGTTCATCCAGATTTATTGTAGTAGGGATTACCATACCCCATGACTATCCCATGTTCAATCCCCATTGTCGATGGTTCAAATAGTTCTTTCAATTTCCGATAATATTCCTATATAATAATACATATCCATGGTGCCCCATAGTTTGCTGTCATTATAACTCCAACCACTAGAGTTTATGGTAGACATATCTATCGTAATTTGTACTTAGGACGTCAAAAAAACAACTAAGAACAACCCTAAAAAAGGTCAAAAGATAGAAAAGTAGTATAAAGTAATCCAAAGTCCTACTAAAATAGTAGTCAATTGAAGCTTTTCGACCTGTTTTTGGGAGGGATCACCACCGAGCCCCCGCCAGGGAAGTTTAGCACCGATCTTGGCCTTCCTGGTACCAGCGGTGCTCAGGGGTGATACCAACAAGAGACTCGGTGCGGAATGGTGAATTCATGATGAAATTTGGGATTGGTGGATCTACCCATTAAAAATGGCGATTTGTAGTGAAAAAAATAGTGGATGAATAGTGGATTTATATAAAAGCTATTGAAAATGGTGATTTAGTTCGTGGATCTACCCATTAAACATGGTGATTTTCCATAGTTACATTAGTTTACCAGAGGGTAATAGTGGTTAATAGTGGTTAATAGTGGTAAACCACCAACCAGAATTGATGTGGGCAACCCAATCCCAAAAAAGCCTAGCAGGGTAAATATCATTTAAGTCTGTATTTCCACATAAATGGTCAATAAATGCTGAATTCATGGTGAATTAAATCGGGTAGCAGCAATAATTAGTGGAATGATTCATGGATAATTGATGGATCGCTATAGGACTCAACACCTACCACTGTTTGTATGTTATGTACATTACATGGGGGTACCCCAAAAAAATCCAAGTTATTGCTGATTATTGATGCGAAAACCAATGCTTTGGGGTACGGATATTTTAGGAACTAACCCTATGTGGATGTTATATGACTCTATGGATATGGATGGACGTTATATGACTCTATGGATATGGATCTTATATGACAATAATCTCTATGATATGTGGATACTAATCTTATTGATGGATATGTGGATATTAATCTCTATGATATGACCATCATTTTGAATATGGATGACTGGATGAATGACTTGGATATGGATGCCTATGGATGACTATGATGGATGATTTTCTACACGGGTGGGTGATTATGGAGGACTATTGCAGTACATGGTGATACATGGTGGTTATAAAAATGACTTATAATAATCCAAGAACGGGGAATCCCGTTCTTAACCAACCAGTCTAATAAAAGACAGAGGGAATTTGAACACTGCTGAAATGAACTACCGCAAGAAATTGGATGGTCAATGATAAGTAGATGTAGTCAAAGCAACAAATCGTTGCGGCTCTGACCCGCAGGTTTTGATTGAGTCTTGGCCATCACTTTCTTGAGGAAATGATTGCACTTGGGAGCTACTTTTAGGGATGGAACGATGCAAAAGAATAGCATCAGTTGCTTGAATTGATTGGGAAAAACTCCATTTTTATTAGCAAAAAAATACCAATACGATGATGTTACTTGAGCGCATGGTTGCCTGGTGTTGAACTAAGGACTAGCTTGACTTTTGTGTCTTGGCAGTGACTTCCCATAGCGGGGGTGGCGGATCCAGCCACAGCTCTGTTACTGTAAAATCATTGCAGGAGTTCGGTTGGTCTTAATCCATAGCCATATATCCCTACGTTGGATTCATGTGGTTGCTTCTAAGCAAGTTCTATTTCCATGTTTGGGATCATAGACTTCATATAAAATAATCCTCATATAACAATCCTATCATATTCAAGCCTATATCTCAACCCGTTTTTTCTGGGCGAAAGATCCACATAATTCAGTGGGAAATTCAGGACCCTACAATGGAGGTACTGTACCATATAAGGTCACATTTTATGGGGAGATGCCCTGAAATTTTAGGCCTTGCATATGGTAGGTGCGATTTTTATCCTGTTGCATGGCCATTGACAGCGAAATCTTCCCATGGAATATCCCTACTAGAGCACCATTTTTTAAATGGCAAAGATCATCAATTAACGTTCAGTGGTAAACTCCACCATGGTTAGTAATGATCATTAACCATTAGCCCATAATTATAAACCATTAACCATTATTATGGATTAGTTTGGATGAATGGCTCATGGTTTTCTGACGATATATTCCATATGTTTTCCATATGTTGGTTATCCCATCTATGGTAGTATAGTCCCATGAAAAAACCCTATCAACCAACTATCATTTTTTAGTCCTAGCCACACTTATGATATCCCAAAAAATCAATCAACCCAGCAGAAAATAGTTCAACCATTGATTTTCCAATGAAATCTCGGTTCTTTCCGGTTCTTTCCGCTTAAGATATTCCCAACAAAACCAATCCATTGCTTGGTGTTTCACTCCTCGCAGAGGTCATGTCCTCATTGGTGCTTGTGCCTTTGGGCATGGCAATCTGTACGGAGTCCCAGCATGATTCGAGGGGAACCATTCCTTTTTATTGCTTGATCATGGGAATATCATTGAAAATATCCATGGAAATGGGGCTATTCTAGATCATCCCAAACACTGGGGGGTAATAATGGTTATTAATGGACTATCAGTGAAAATATCCATGGTTAATAATGGTGATTAATGGAAAACAATCAAGAATCATGGATGAATAGTGGATAATGGGGAAAAACCCTCTGAGAATCCAACAGTTTGCGAACTGGACCATGGCCCATTTAGTTCGATGATTTACCCTCTGGTTATTTAACATCGCCATGGAAAATCACAATTTTTCATAGCAAACCATCTATAAATGGGCAATTTTCCATGGCTAGGTTAAATAACCAGAGGGTTTTTTTTTCAGAGGGTGATCATTCTCAAGTGTCTGTGTCTCGTCTATTGCGGGCACGAAAATGCCGAAATGTTCAGTGGTGAAGTCCACCATGAAACAATGAATGGAAATGGTGGAGTTATTTCCATTATTTGTGGTTAGTAATGATGATCATCATTAGCCCATGATTACTAACCCATGATGATCATGTTAATGGAAATGATCATCAATTAATGTTCAGTGGTAAACTCCACCATGGTTAGTAATGATCATTAACCATTAGCCCATCATTGTTAACCATTAACCATTATTATGGATTAGTTTGGATGAATGGCTCATGGATGTCACAAATTCCCATTGGTTGGTTGATTAATAGAGAGGTTTGAAGGTTTACCCCTTTAACAGGTAAACGATGATAGATGGTACACCAAACCGGCCCCTCTATTTTTACCAAAAGGACATTATTGCTTCATAGCCTTTGGTAAACTGACCCTTTGCGAACTGGAAAAGCGCCGGGTTTTCAATAGGTAAATCATCCCTTTTCGTTGGGCCATGTTCCATAGCTATGTTAGTTTACTGGAGGGTAAATTCACTGTATTAAATCCCTATTTGTTTCATGGTGATTCCCTGATGATCAATTGATAAAATCCACATGGTTGATGGTTAAATCTTGACTGACTCAATCTTGGATGGCTGCTGTAGTCATCTTGCGCTCTAGATGGGTATATGTATCCTGATCAACTAAAAATAGACAGCCTTGGCCATGTTACACAGCCGATTTTAAACATGGAACCCCCAATTTGGCCATAATGATAAGCTAGAGAATCATCTTCTCATCTTCAAAACCCAATTTTGGGGGTTCATATTGAATTTAGAAGAATCCTTTTATACTTACTGCAGTTGGCCAAAATTTAGAGAAGTTTAAGGCCCAAGTTTTCCATCTGATGATATTTTCATGGGAATGTACCCTCCGGCATCTAAAGCTGAATAATTTTCCATTTAGTTCGATGAATTTCCCATTCAAATTTCCTTTTAGTGCGGAGATGTCCCAGCCACCATTTGATTACCAGATGGTAAATCCATCACTATCCTATGTTTGTCCCATGATTATCCCATTATTTAAACCATAGAAATAGTTGATTTACCCATTAATAGCATGGTGGATCTTTCCAGTTCGTAAACGTAGAAACCAGAGGGTAAACCATCATAAATCCCATTAAATCCCATTAAATCCCATTAGATCCCATTATTTAAACCATATAGAACCCATAACTGGAGGGCGAAATCCACTCCAAAAACAGCCACATTTTTTGGGCGCCGAGGTGGACTTTGCTACGTGGCCGGCGACCTCCGCTGGAAACCCTGGATTTTGGCCCTGGGTGGCTGGGCCTTGCCGTTGGGGAAGGGTTGGGGGATGGGAAAATGCTGCGGGTTTTGTGAGGTCGGAATATTATCCATGGGAGTAATATGGTGTATAGGGATTTTCTAGGGATTTTCTAGGGATTTTCTAGGGATTAACAGTGATTTATCTGGTTGGTGGTGACTGGAACCATGGAATTTTATGACTTTCCATTCAGTTGGGAATGGCATCATCCCAACTGACGAAGTCATATTTTTCAGAGGGGTAGGTATACCACCAACCAGTTTTTGTTGCCACAGGAAAATGGGGAAAATGTGGTTTTTGAAGAAAAATTGTTTTTTTGGCCGAAAAGGCGATTGAAGGATGACAAAAATAGGGAAACATTGTGCTATAGGCATTCGAACATGCTCGATGATAATCGGTGCTTGTTGCTGCTGGATTTGTCGAATTTACTCCCTTGGGAGCTGTTGGGCTTGGATCAAAATATCGGATTCAACTTTGTTTCCAACATTTCTTCAGGCGCAACCATGGACCTGGTTGGTGGTTTGGAACATGTTCTTTTCCAATTCAGTTGGGAAGAATAATCCCAACTGACTTTCATATTTTTCAGAGGGGTGGCTCAACCACCAACCAGTGGATTTTCGAAGGCATTCTGGGGAAGTTATAACGACCTCACTGTTCTCCCGAGCCCTGAATCATGGTTAATAAGGGGAATCATCCCCAAATGGCCCAACAATGAAGGTTAGCGAAATATTATAATTTACCCAGATCATTTTCAGAATGGGAACAGAGTACCCGGAAACACCATAGCCTGAGGTTATCCACGAATTAGGATGTGAAAATGGGGATATAATGGAGGTATGCTGGGGATATAATGAGGATACACAAATGGGATTTGCATAACCAACTATATTAAGTTCTCCCAATGGATAGGAGGTATATGTCAGTAGGTGGTACCCAGGGCCGGGTATTCGCGCAGTACTACCACATAGGGTAAGGCAAGGAAGTGGTAAGAAGCTGGATGTACCCTTCATAGATCCCAAGATATCATTCAAGCTAGTCATGACATGTCGTGAATCATCATGGATCCTATGCCGCAGCTTTCCATCAAGCCATCACTCCGCAGTTTCGAGGCAGTTTTCGAGGGTCCGGATGGTTGCGGTGTGGCCCCCTGTTACCCGGCCTGGTAAACATACAAAAAGCGATTGAAAATATGGCAATTTATAGTGGGGTTTCCCATTAAAAATGGTGATTTTCCAGTTCGTTATGGTATAGATGTCCCATAGAAATCGTTGATCTACCTATTATAAATGGTAATTTTCCAGGAAACTAACAGTTTGCTATGGAAAATGAACCATTGATACCATAGATTTAGCTATTAAGATAGTAATTTTCCAGTTCGCAAACTGTGTTAGTTTACCAGAGGCTATGTCTTGGTGGGTTGGACTGGGGCCACCCTGTGTGATTCATGACGTTCATGGGGCCCCCAAAGCCATAAACATCCACCATCCTCAAGGACAAAAAACATGGCTTAGTCCAACTATCCCAAGTCATAGTAGATTTATGGCATTGGATTTTCCACATTGAAAAAACTCCCGTTTTCGAACTCTCCGAAGTTCGGAGCAGGCCTGAGTCGAGTACCATTTCTGCCCGTACCAGCTGCAACATGCTGCAACCAGGTTTTTCTTGGATGTTCCCATGATTTTTCATGGATGAATTTGAGGGAAAATCTGCAGGAAAGCACAGATTCTATGCTGAAATCTACGAGTTTCCTGTTTCTGGTACTACTTCTTGCATTGGATAATTGGGGTGATATTGGTTTGCCTGTCATCTCCATTTTATAATCCCCAGTTGATGGTCCAATCATTAAATCCCATTGTAAACCCATTACACCCCCATCCATGGCCATGATTTATTTGTGAAATCCCATTTTTTGAAGTGAAATTATATGCGAAATCCCAAAAAATGATGTTAAATCATGTTCAATCGCATGATTGATGTGTTAAATCCCACTCAACCGTTGTAAAATCTCATGTTGTTGTTTCAGGTTTGTCAACGGTTCCCATCACTGCTGGTGGACTCTAGACCACGCCTCCGTGTCACAGCGTGTTAGCCTTGGTCTACAGCATGAACGAAGGAGCAAATGAGAACGACGGTAACTGAGTGGCTGAATTCTGTTGATTTTTAATGATGGTATAATGGTAATAGTTACCAGTACCTATAGATGATCTAATAATTAGTAGTTTAAATACCATTAGACCATCTACTATACCATTAGATTTTTACTGTAGATGGTATAGTAGATGATATCTAATGGTATAATGACGGGATAGTAATAGTAATAGTATCCCAGATTTACCATACCATTAACAGATTATCCCCAAAATGGTGCAGTTTAACATAGTTCAACATAGTTTGTTGGTTTTTACTGTAGAAGATGGTCTAATGATAATCTAATGATGGGAGAATAGGTCTAATGATGGGATAAAAGATTTTACCCTCTGGTTAACTAACAGTTTGCTATGGAAATCGCCATCTTGAAGTTCGGAAAATCAACGAACTAAATGTGCCATGTTCAATAGCTACGTTAAATTTTCCAGAGGGTAGATGGTCTAGTGATGGGATAATGGATATACTCATAGTTTATCATATGTTGAATTGATTCTTTGGATGTTTCATGACTTCATGATTTGAATGGGGATATACTGGGAGTGGGATTTATCAATCAACAATAGGGATAATGAGGATATGATTCTAGAATATATAGACAGTATGTGTATACACAATTATCTGATCCCCGCTGGTAAACGTTTACAGTTTGCGAACTGGAAAATCACAATGTTTTATAGCTGGGTAAATAAACGAACTAAATGACCATGGCTTCAATAGCAAACTGTTAGTCATTACCAGAGAGTAATAATGGGATGATATATCATGATATTATTCTAGCAAAATCTTACCCATATTCCAAGGCTGTTCATATTCCATGCCAAAATAGCTCCGGAAGTTTGGAAAATAATGAACGACCTTTGATGGTGAGAATGAGGTTGTGTGACCCTTGTCAGGCGCACCTTTTCCCTTGGCACGTGCTGTCAATTTAATTATCTTAAAATGGATGATCCTCAGATCACCATAGGTTTCAATACTAATTCATCGAAGGAAGTTTAGAAGTCAAACTTCCGACAATATGGACAGATGAAAAAGCAGAGGTGGGAAGAGTCAGAGAAGAGAAGAGAAGAAGAGAGAAGATCAGAGAAGAGAAAGAGGCAGAAGACAGAAGATGCAGGTGCGGGAAAGGTAGAAAAGTCGCGATTCATTGTGTTTTTCCAATGATTTGTGGCCCCGGAGGGTCGAAAAGTAGGCTCGCTAAAGCGGCGGGTGCGGAGCCATCTGGCCAGATGAGGGATGAAAAATTGCACGCCGTTGTGCACGAAGCATATTTCGAAGTCAAAATGTGTAAAACACACCAGGTTAAAGCATTTTTGGAAATTGAGATGTTGAAAAAGTGCACGCCGTTGCGGCGCTAAGCACATGTGGAAGAAAAAGTTTCAGTCCACTTTTGGAAGTTGAGATGTTGAAAAAGTGCACGCCCTTGTGGGGCGAAGCACATTTTGAAGTGAAAATGTACAAAACACACCATGCTCGGAGCACTTTTGGAAGCTGAGATGATGAAAAAGTGCACGCCCTTGCGGCGCGAAGCACATGTCAAGTCAAAAGTGTAAAAAACTGGCGGTCTCGGAACACTTTTTGAGGTTAGGATGTGGTTTTGCATGGCAAGCGCAAGAGAGTCTGCACCTTCCCAAAAGTGAGCAAAACGTGATGATTTTGTAGCAGTTTGAAAAACTTTGGCAGGCGTGGGACATGTCAAGAGCATCTGCAAAGATGCATGTCGCGTGGCAGGCGCAGTACAAGAGACTTGTCCAGGCCATCAGCTCTGCACTCAACTTTCCATTTTTGAAGGACGTCTCGCAGAATTGCTTCGTTTTTGATGTTGTCCACCTCGAAAATTGAGGAAGTCTCGCAGAATTGCTTCGTTTTTGACGTTGTCAAGTTCGAAAATTGAGGAAGTTTCGCACAATTGCTGCGTTTTGGATATTGTCAAGTTCAAAAAATTGAGGAAATCTTGCAGAATTGCTTCGTTTTCAAGCTTGCACATAGACAGATAGATAGATAGACAGATAGATGGAAAGATGGCTAGATAGACAGACAGACAGACAGACAGACAGACAGATAGGGAGATAAACAGATAGACAGATAGACAGATAGATAAACAGATATATAGATAGACAGGTAGATAAACAACTGCAGCTGCACTACACCACACTACAACTTCAACTACGACTACAACTATAACTACACTACCAGTACAACTTCAACAACACTTCAACTACAACAACAACAGCAACAACAACAACAACTACTACTTACTACTTACTACTTACTACTTACTACTTACTACTACTACTACTACTACTACTACTACTACTACTACTACTACTACTACTACTACTACTACTACTACTACTACTACTACTACTACTACTACTACTACTACTACTACTACTACTACTACTACTACTACTATAACACAACACTTTAACTACAACTACAATTGCCACTACAACTGCAACTTCAACTTCAACTATACTACTACATACTACTACTACAACAATTGCCAAGACACTACACTACAACTACAGCTACAACTACAACTATACTACTGTACAACTACAACTACACTACGACTACAACTACAGTTACAACTACAATTACAACTCCTACAACTGTTGCAGCTACTACAATTCCTACAAGTAAGACAGCTACAACTTCAACTACACCACAACTACAACTACAACTACAACCACAACTACAACTACAACTAACTTCAACAAACAGAAACTCCACTACAACTACAACTACAATTACATTGCACTTCGCTACGCCACACTACATCCTGCAGTTGTGGGTGAGGTGACCACTGCAACCACTCCAAAAATCACAACCACCTTTCGGTCCATGCATCACAACAACTCACCTCTCCTATAGTTTCCTATCTTTGAAACTTCCGCCACCGCCTTGTACGGTACTACTGGTAGTCATCCATGACTGGCTGAAAATAGGGGTGCCCCGATTACTTAGGAAACCTCCTTATGTTTGGAATTATTTGTTATTTTCGGATGGTTGGGATGTTTTCAAGTTTGTTTGTTTTCAAGTTTGTTGGGATTTCTCTGGGGTCTATGTTTGAATGTGTTGTAGTTGAATTCCAAAAATCCGATAGAGTATAGTTCATATGTTTTCGCTATGTTCATCCCAAGAAATTACACTTGACCCCAATTCACTTTCAGATCTTTAGGAAAGAAATCATGCACCAGATCCGACGAATCACCTTTTGGTCGTCATTCTCCCAGGAGTTTACCAGAGACCGTTTCCAATGCGTTTCCAATGCCAAAATGGAAGAAGCTGTGGATGCAATTCCTCTCATGACATGATACGAATTACATCTGCAACCAAACCATTGCAGTGGTCGAGCAGAAACTGGGTACGATCAAGACTCTCATCGGTCGTAAGACCAATCAGGCTCTTTATCGTACCCAGTTTTTGTTTTGGCGCTAGAAATTCATGGAGCAATCAAGTGGATGACGCGGACAAGTGCAATCGGCATCACTTTCGAGAAACTCCTACTTGGTCCTGAGGCAATGTTGGCTCTTGACTAAAATTGGATCTGCATTCACTGAAGGGACGACGCTTGAACCAGTTAACCTCGTGCAACAGGAAGGCGGCAGTCACAACAACCACCCAGCTGACGAGAACGAAACAGCAGTGCGCAATGGCGCGCTACAAGTCATAGCAATGCGCCGTGACGCAGCTGGACCCGAACCATGGCCATCCCACTTTGGAGCCGTCGTTCTCCCAGGGGTTTGCCACTCAGTCTTCGCGGCCCAAATATAAGCTGTGGATGCCACTCCTCCAGTCATGAGAAGAATTACATCTGCAACCAAACCATTTCGGTTGCATCAAGACAGCAGAGGTTGAGCAGAAACTGGGTACGATCAAGAGCCTGATCGGTCGTAAGACCAATCAAGCTCTTTATCGTACCCAGTTTTTGTTTTGGAGCTAGAAAATCATGGAGCAATCAAGTGGATGACGCGGACAAGTGCAATCGGCATCACTCTCAGGAAACTCCTACTTGGTCCTGAGGCAATGTTGGCTCTTGACTAAAATTGGATCTGCATTCACTGAAGGGACGACGCTTGAACCAGTTAACCTCGTGCAACAGGAAGGCGGCAGCCACAACAACCACCCAGCTGACGTGAACGAAACAGCAGTGCGCAATGGCGCGCTACAAGTCATAGCAATGCGCCGTGACGCAGCTGGACCCGAACCATGGCCATCCCACTTTGGAGCCGTCGTTCTCGCAGGGGTTTGCCACAGTCAGTCTTCGCGGCCCAAATATAAGCTGTGGATGCCACTCCTCTAGTCATGAGAAGAATTACATCTGCAACCAAACCATTTCGGTTGCATCAAGACAGCAGAGGTTGAGCAGAAACTGGGTACGATCAAGAGCCTGATCGGTCGTAAGACCAATCAAGCTCTTTATCGTACCCAGTTTTTGTTTTGGCGCTAGAAAATCATGGAGCAATCAAGTGGATGACGCGGACAAGTGCAATCGGCATCACTCTCAGGAAACTCCTACTTGGTCCTGAGGCAATGTTGGCTCTTGACTAAAATTGGATGTGCATTCACTGAAGGGACGACGCTTGAACCAGTTATAACCTCGTGCAACAGGAAGGCGGCAGTCACAACAACCACCCAGCTGACGAGAACGAAACAGCAGTGCGCAATGGCGCGCTACAAGTCATAGCAATGCGCCGTGACGCAGCTGGACCCGAACCATGGCCATCCCACTTTGGAGCCGTCGTTCTCGCAGGGGTTTGCCACAGTCAGTCTTCGCGGCCCAAATATAAGCTGTGGATGCCACTCCTCTAGTCATGAGAAGAATTACATCTGCAACCAAACCATTTCGGTTGCATCAAGACAGTAGAGGTTGAGCAGAAACTGGGTACGATCAAGAGCCTGATCGGTCGTAAGACCAATCAAGCTCTTTATCGTACCCAGTTTTTGTTTTGGCGCTAGAAAATCATGGAGCAATCAAGTGGATGACGCGGACAAGTGCAATCGGCATCACTCTCAGGAAACTCCTACTTGGTCCTGAGGCAATGTTGGCTCTTGACTAAGATTGAATGTGCATTCATTGAAGGGACGACGCTTGAACCAGTTATAACCTCGTGCAACAGGAAGGCGGCAGTCACAACAACCACCCAGTTGACGAGAACGAAACAGCAGTGCGCAATGGCGCGCTACAAGTCATAGCAATGCGCCGTGACGCAGCTGGACCCGAACCATGGCCATCCCACTTTGGAGCCGTCGTTCTCCCAGGGGTTTGCCACAGTCAGTCTTCGCGCCCAAATATAAGCTGTGGATGCCACTCCTCTAGTCATGAGAAGAATTACATCTGCAACCAAACCATTTCGGTTGCATCAAGACAGTAGAGGTTGAGCAGAAACTGGGTACGATCAAGAGCCTGATCGGTCGTAAGACCAATCAGGTGCTTTATGGTACCCCAGTTTTTGCTGGGCAAGAAGTCAAACCGCAACCTTTTGGCGCATTGAAAATTGGCAACCGCATCTGAAGCCAACTAGTCCTGAGTTTGAGTGTTTGTGAAACATTCCCAAGTTGGGTTTGTTAGGGGGCAACCAAACTTTTCAAACATGGAAGTATGTCAATGTATATATATATATATATACGGGGTTGATGGGTCAATATTGAATATTGATTGGATATCTTTGGCAGGGTGCCAGGGTTTCTCGACTTACAATACCCCGCAAAAAGACAGCAAAGTATGTCCAGGATGGTATAGACATACGGACATGAATCATTTCCAGGTTTCCAACTTTCCATTTTTTGGTGGTTAATATATATATATATACAAGTCTTATAAGTTATTATAAGTGTATAGACTGTTTTTTGATTTCGGTACCTTTCCAGTATATTCACCTTCTGCCTGCAATCACATCTTGTGAACTGTTGGTGGTGAATGCAAAATGTTTATTCAATGGGATTTACCTCTCTGGTTGGATTCTAGCAACCCCGCGCCAAGATAGAAAAGTAACATTCCATACTAAAATAGTGAAGGCTTAGGTTGTTCTATTTGTTTGGGGGTTGCTTCACACACATTACACACGAGAGACGTTCGCCCAGCTGGAATAAATCCGGCATATCCTGACCAAAGGACCCTCAAGGGGCGCAAATGGCATTTGGGGCGCTTAACAGTGGCTCAAATGGAGGTTTATCCGAATTAGACCAGCTTAATATTTTTAAAAAAAAACATGGTTTTGGGGATGCCCCATGTTAAGAAACCCTCAAATGGTCATATTCAACAGGCAAATAATCTATAGATGGAGGATTCTGCAGCAAGCGGTTGTTTGTTTTTCAACCAGGGGCAGTACCTTGTATTTTGTTTCCTGTCGATTTGGCCCAAACTCAGCAGCAATGGCTCTCGGGCCATGGTGTGGCGTGATTAAAGTTTTGACGCTGATGGGTCCAGCTACCACATAATCCCCATTGAACTGGGAGATAACATTGATTAGTTTGAACATGAGTTATACACCAGTTATGGACATTTAGTAGATAGTATCATCATTGATCGAATGGGAAGACAAGTCCAAAGTGATTGGAAGATTGATCTGTTCGGGTGACCATGTTCAAGAATACCCTCTGGTAAACTCACATAGCCTAGCCATCGAAAATCACCATCTTTAACAGGTAAATCAACCATAAATGGGCAATTTTCAATAGCTATGTTGAATTACCAGAGGGTAGAAGCAGGGCCCATCACAGTCAGGGGCATCTGGCTTCTGGGCCTTGTGAAATGGCTGAATTTCAGCCGGAACTCCACCGTGGCCGCTGCGACCAACTTGAGGACTGCATGGCGAAGTAGCGGGCCGTGCCCATCTATGGAGTCATGATGAATATGATAATTCATGTTACCTCACCATCCCTACTTCTTGGAGTAAATTTCTGATCTCATTATGTATTAATTTTACCATATTATACCTGTTTCTTGGTTTATTCTGTTGTATTTCCCCCCTTCAACCTGCATCCAGAATATCCACAGCCCCATCCTGCCCCATCCTTTGTTTAAAGGACGTTCTTCCATTGAGTCATAAATATGGAGAGAGTTCCAACCCCATGTGCCATTGGGATTTGGGCTTCCATCCCTTGGCCAGGACATCTGGGTTTCTTCAGCGGTCGCCTTGCACCACTGCTTGCGGCTTCCGCAGGAAGTGGCGCACGGCGACGTCAGCAACAGGTCTGTGATGTCGGGAAGCGATCGTGGGTCCCTGTTCAAAAATCTGCAGGAGCGAAGGCCAACTGGTAAAAACATGGTTCCATGCGGCTGAAAGCCGTGAGATTTTTTGAAGGTGCAGCTTAAGCTATTGCTCCTTCCATTAATCGCAAGGCTTCCTGGAGTATGGAGTGAAGATGCACGGACTCCAATGGGCTGCCTCAATGTGGCATCTTTCACAGCGCCATGAGCCACCTTGTGCAAGGCTTGACCATTGAACATCAATGTTCTTGATTGACATGCCTGTAGTCTACAGTGGTCTTTGTTGTTGCTGCACGTTTCTTGTGATATGGGGCCAGTGGTTGAAGGGACGGATCTTGAAAGGAAACGAAACCTGCTGGCAGACGGCAGTCGCCACATCCAGCTGGAAGAAACAGCAGTGTGTAATGGCAGGCCTTTACAAGTCATAGCTATGAAAACGTATTAGGGTCACTGATAACATCGATTTCTGACTCAGATCGGGCTCCAATTCTTTTGTCTGTCTCACGGGCGTTGGCGGTAGCTATGAAAACGTTCGGAGCAGTGATAACAGCGATTTCTGACTCGGAATCGGGCTTCAAGCAATCATCTATATAGTCTGCTTGCGGCCGCCGTGCGACACTTTTTACGGTGTACGTAGGAAGTGTCTCACGGCGGTCGGCGGTATGAAAACGTTAGGGTCATTGATAACAGCGATTTCTGACTCAGATCGGGCTCCAATTCTTTTGTCTGTCTCACGGGCGTTGGCGGTAGCTATGAAAACGTTAGGAGCATTGATAACAGCGATTTCTGACTCGGAATCGGGCTTCAAGCAATCATCTATATAGTCTGCTTGCGGCCGCCGTGCGACACTTTTTACGGTGTACGTAGGAAGTGTCTCACGGCGGTCGGCGGTATGAAAACGTTAGGGTCATTGATAACAGCGATTTCTGACTCAGATCGGGCTCCAATTCTTTTGTCTGTCTCACGGGCGTTGGCGGTAGCTATGAAAACGTTAGGAGCATTGATAACAGCGATTTCTGACTCGGATCGGGCTTCAAGCAATCTTCATAGTCTGCTTGCGGCTGCCGTGCGACACTTTTTGCGGTGTGCGCAGGAAGTGTCTCACGGCGGTCGGCGGGATGAAAACGTTAGGGGCATTGATAACAGCGATTTCTGACTCAGATCGGGCTCCAATTCTTTTGTCTGTCTCACGGGCGTTGGCGGTAGCTATGAAAACGTTAGGAGCATCATGATAACAGCGATTTCTGACTCGGATCGGGCTTCAAGCAATCTTCTATAGTCTGCTTGCGGCCGCCGTGCGACACTTCTTGCGGTGTGCGGAGGAAGTGTCTCACGGCGGTCGGCGGTGTCTTTTGCGGAGGCGTGGGGCAGCTGGAAACCGAGCCATGGCCATTCCACAGTGGATTATGCGAACAAATGCCACGGCTCACAACAATTAAAACAGCAGTGTGCAATGGCAGGCTTCTACAACTCATTAATTACGATCTGATTTCATGTTTTCTTAGGATGGTGCAGCTGAGTGAGATTTTAGATGGTGCAGCTGAATGGCGCGAGATTTTGGAAGGCGCTGCCCCCGATCTCCAAAGTCTTCACTGCTTGCTGTCGTCAAGCTTCACTGCAGTTACGCGACCACCGGGTCGTTGCATTTTCCTGATTTTGCGAAAGCGATAAAAGGCGCGTGTCCCCAGCTGATTTTCATTCTACAGGCTGTATTTGCACGTTTGTATGGTTTGCGGCCCCTCTCAAGTTGCCAAGCATGTCACATTTGTTCTTAGTTTGGGGGTGTTTCTAGGATACGCGCGGATGGCTTTAATTTAAGATGCTTTAAGATAAAAGGAAGCACCAACCAGTTCTTCGTTCAGCACCTTCGGCGTCAAATCCCCAAAAGCAGCTAGATGAAATTCGGGTTTGGAATTGTTTTGAGCCACTCACACAAACAAATCCAGTCATAAAATTATTTTGAATGTTGCTGTGATTTGCCTATAGTTGTGGATGGGCACATGGATCGATGAATGGATTTAGGTTCAAGACTGCTTGCATATAAATTCAACCCCCCGGGCTGTACTTCTTCGTCATTCGAAGTCTGGGTCGGGCTGTCTCAAGCCCTGGGTTGACGGTTACGCTACCTATCAGGTTTCACCAACCCTGAAGGCATGAGTTGGTTTCACAAAAAAGGAGCCGCGTAACCCATGTTTGAGTCAACTGTTTGATTGTGAGCCATGCAACGTGGCTGGTTTTGAATTTGATTCACACCCGCTTGCAGATGGGAAATTCCACAGGAATCATCCCTATTCGATCGTTAAAATTGCAAGTCCAACAAGCCCAGCATATGCCTGGCTTCTAGCACATGCAAACTTTCTTCCTTTTCCCCCGCTCTGACGAACTTCTGGCTGGGACATGGCCAGTTCTTCATCATTCTATGTGTAACTTTGGGAAACTTGAAAAAGCTTGAATTTGGGAGGGAGCTGTGGGCCCGGGGTTGCCAGAAGCTTCCATGACCCTGCTGACCAACTTGGCTAAGGAGCTGGCTTTGGCAGCTTCCTGGCAATTCTCTGGGGTGTTGCCGCGGAGATTCTGCATAAGCCTCGGGTGTTGCGCCTCGGCGATGATCATCCCGCCATTGATGGGGGCTATGAAACAAACGGGACCTCATGGGGGAGTGATTTGGGCACCAAAAACTGTCAAAAACACCAGTACCTGTTGTGAACAGCGATGAAGAGCCATGAGCCATGATAAGGAATCCTGAATGATGGTTACTGGTAATTCACTTTTGGATGCCTTTCATCATGCAGTTCGTAGCAAGGCGGCCATCCCAAACCGACGGGTTCAGGAAATCCTTTCTTGGGCTGATTTGACACCCGGAAGAAGAAATAGCCAGCTAAGGCAGCCGGAGCTACAATCAGAGGGCAACGCAAAATTTCCACGATGCAATTGCACAAAACAAAAGAAATAAAGCGAAAAGAAAGTATAGCGCAAGAAAGTGGCATGACAGACAAACGTTCACTAGCTCTTCGGCGGAATTTTAGACCACCATTGTTGAAGTTGAATTTTATCATCCGATGGGTGATAGAAAGCCAGGAAGACCTATTTCACTCAGTCAGCGGATGGCTTGACAAGGATGCTCCTTGCCCCATCAGCCATGGTTACATACCTCTACCATGTGAAAGACTTTGTGGTTCGATGGGTGATGCCGCGAAGCTAAGAAGATCCAAGAATATCCAGCATGTTTAGGATTAACATCAACAAAGAACCATCCAAAACTGTTCCGACTGCTTCTGCAGGATGGTGCCCCTCAATTGTTATAAATTGGTTTGTAATCCCCTTTAGAGGTGTAACCCCCCTAATCAACCCTTAGTTTATTGGACCTACAAAGCAACTTAGCTAACAAACTGGGGCCCCACCCTGTGAAGTTTCAAACTGAAGTGTTTCTCTGGGATTTACCCACCGCGGCCGATGGGCTGAAGCAATGACCGATGCTGAGCAGCTCGATCTCTTGAGGTTGACCGGAAGTTATGTGGCTCTCCTTATGTTCCTCCTTCCTCTAGCTTTGGCCTTTCACGAGCCAACGACTTGGAATTGGTGCTTGGACACCATGTGTGCCTGGGCTATATTTGCTTGGGGTGTCCACCGGCGATATGGTGCCCGGGGGGGTTAGGCTACGACATGGAACATAATATATAGGGATTGTCTGTTTTAGTAGATGTTATCCTTATCAACTATTCTGGAGTAGTTGGTTGGGGTAACACTGGCTGACTCAATTCTTCAAGGCATTATCCCCGATGAGTTCTTGGGATAGTCACCAATCAATACACGAAATGCTGCCAAGCAGAATAACTTTTGCCCACAAGCCTCCATGTCTCCCTGAGAAAATATTCTACATACCGTACCGGGCATGTGGAGAATCATCGCAGTTAGTAAGTGGTTAGTAAATGGGATTGGAACCCTGTAAAAGCGGGATAACCTAGGGACTTAGTAGCCAGGGTTATCAACTCAGTTACTAAGTGGGATGATCTTCCTATCCATCAAGCACATCATACCCTTCCCTTCTTTACTTTGCACACCTTGTGGGTTTGTGACTATGCTGCATGTTCGATTCCAAGTGCTATATATAAAAGTTTGCTGTTGAAGTGGAGATCAGCAGCTTAAAAGCCCATGTCACCGCCTGCTTTTGGTTGGTTTGGCATCTGTTCTGAAGCAAAGCCCGGCAGAATTAGGGTTCTCATGATGATTTGTTTGTGCTGGCTGATTGGTAAAAAGAGGTAGGACCCCCCTCTTGTTACATCGAAGAGTTGCATAGTTTGAGCGGTGCCAAGCCGAGCCAGTGCTTCCCACCAGAGCCATCGTTTGCAGTCAGCACAGGTATGACAGGTTCCATTGTAGTTGGCAATCTGATGTCGATGGCGCTGAGTTTCTCGATCAAATCTTGAGCAAAAGGCACCAGATGGGCGATAGTATGTCCACCAAATGTAATGGGGAGCATGGGAGGAACCAACTGGAGGTATCCTAGGTATGGTCCAACCCATTTACTGAGCCCACTTCTGGAGAAGGGGACTGTGATGAATGCACCTGCAAGTTTGGTGTAGACAACCAAGGTTGATTGAATTATGTCTTTGCGGGTTGTTCTTTTGTAGCCCGCAATCAACAATATTGTTCCTAACCTGTTGACTTTAACTAATTGCATGGCAATTATTTCATCCTATTGCCATTTTCATTCACAAGCTCCCTTGATTATCTGCCATTGCCATGTAGGAGAACTACTTACCAACAATTGGACAGTTCTATCGCATAAGGTATTACATCCCGCACAGAGACTAGACATAGCCGCATATTTTCAGTTTGGGGTTTCAAGGGACCATTGATCAGGCAAATTGCTGATCAATGTCAACCCTGGGTCAAATAAACCCTTGGGTTGTTTAATTGAGGGGTGCAAATTTCATGGCACAGGACGCCACTGATGGAGGCAAGCCCGAATTGAGCAACAGGGTCCATTGATAGGAGTTTGACAGTATCATGGTTGGGGACTCAATGGTAAATAGCCAATAGGATTAAATATGATTGATTAAAAACAGTCATGTAAAGATATCTTTCATGATTGGTAATGATGACCCCATGTTCGATATGTTTAATCTCTCATTATCCCATCAAATTCCACGATCCCTCAATGGATAAAATTCGCAAATCGTCGTGGCTCAGTTTCCTGAAATGATCCCCAAATCACCATAGGTTTCAAGCAATGACAGGTATCTAAGGTTCACCATGATGAATCATGATTTTCCCATTGGAGGTAACCATGAAACCTTAGATACCTGGTTAACCATAGGTTTCCCATGGTTTCAATGACCTTTTGGAGGTAACCCCATTTTATGAAACCCCCAGCTGTTGCGCTGGTGCCCCCAGGCCATTTGCCCCTCACCGGCGCCGAGCCCGCGCAACGCCATGTGCCCGGCACGGCGGCCTGCAAAGCTGCAGCGCTGGCGGAGATGTTTGAGGCCAGACGGCTAGGTGTTTGGTTTGTTGGCTAAGTTTTCAGTTAATTAACATGACCCTGCCAGATAGGGGTTGGAAGATTGGTTTGTAGGTAAAATATCCATGATTGCATTAAAATTAAAAAGAAAATTGATACATAATAAGAGGTGTGGTATGATTGACCATCAGATTATGGCCAGTATTTTGTGAATATGTGACTTATCAAAAAATGTGCCCTGGCCAAAAGTTGGATTAGATCAAACCATCAGTTGGGGTCATGGTCATCAAACCACTAGCACAGATTTTGCCCACAAGAAGGATTCCTAGTATGGGATGCATGACCATACCGTACCCCTTATACCACGTTTTGACCATGGCACATATAGGAACCTTGAACCGGATGCTGACAAGTATGCTCAGGATGGTACAGGTTGTTCTCCCAATCATCTTCAGGTGTTCAGTGGTTTAATCATTTTGGGGGGATGCATGTAATTTCATATCTATATAATTATATATATTATATTTTTCGTTATATATACAGCTTATACACCTTTGACTAGGATGTAAACTTATTTTGATGTAATATGCATCTATCGTAGTAAACACACGAACATTCATGTCCGTCTTTTTCTGCATGTAAATGGGCAACAGATCCCAGGGATGCGCTGCGCATTCATGATGTGACCATTTTGGTGGATAAAAGTTGAAACCTAGGACCCTTGGGAACTGCAAACCTGCGTTACTGCTGCAGGAGCAATCCTACTCTGGTTTGTAGTAGACAACAACGATTAGAGAGGAAATGCACCCAACACGTGACAAAAAATGAAATTTCCGGAGTTTTTTCTTGAGGTTGATGCTGGCTAGTAACGATCAGGACAGAAGCCCCGAACTGCTTCTCCTCGAAATGTCACGCACCGTTTCTAATGTCCATCCATCAGTCTGAAGAGGCTGGCAAGTGAAGCCATTGGTTTCTGGATAAGCCACAGTGAACTAGCCCTACAAAGCATAGCATAGAGATGGCCAATGCATCTTTTCCCAGTATCAAGTTAGCGTGGGAAGCTGTCTCATCTATCAACAAGGATTACAAAAAGAAGGTATTAATGAATTTCAAGACTTCAATCGATTCCAGAACAGTTTAAAATTCCAATTGGCCACCAAAATAAATATTTCAAGAATTTCGCAGGTGAATTGAAATTCTTCAAGGATGCACAATTTTTTGAGGACCGCAACACCCACAATGGTGAAGGTTCTTCTAGTTTTCCGACAAAGAAACAAGCATAAGATTGGCTACCACCCAGAAAAAGATGGTTTCCTACTGAATATGATCGGCTGGCTCATTTGTGGGTGTGTGGCCCAGATAGCCGCGTAGCTCAGGGATATGAACTTGGGATATTCTCCAGTATAAGGCAAAATCAGCCAGCAGAAATAACTTCAAATTTGGCCAATACGCATGCAGATAGATAGATAGAGATATATATATATATACATGGACCATATATTTATATATATACCAATATATGCATCACTTTTTGGTGGAGTCATTCTGGATCTGGACCGGCTTTGCACCCTGGCTGACACTCGGGCTATCCGAGCGCTCTTCCAGTTCCAGCGCTTTTGGAGTCGCAATGTCGGGATGTGGATGTCAACTTGACTGGTGACTGATTCAAATGTGACCGAGAAACAGATGGAATGCGCAAACAGCTTGACGGCAGTATCACTGTGACCAGCCCGCAGACAGAGAGATTGAAAAGCAAAGCCTGCCCGCTGCCCTTTCTGTCCTCAAAGCGTTGGGAAGATTTTTGCGCCTTGGTTGTATGAAACACATCATAGCCGCATCAGATCGCCTCGGCACTGTACTTCTCCGATCCAGAAAAATCCAGAGAAAGTGGGCTATGCGAGGGTTAGTATCGTTGCTGCTTAAAAGGTTAAAGATATATATATATATATTTGAAAGGTTAAATTTTCCCACGGGGTTGGAGAAGTATGGTGAAAATTGCAAGGAATTGGTAGTGTAAGGGTTTGAAAAGGAACTTAATATAAGGGTTAGGCGTGCTCGTGTATTACTCTGAACTCTGAACTAAAGAAATGTTGTTGGGAAAATTTCATTTTGGACTCGTCATTTTGGACTCGTTGATGCTTAAGCCCCGTTTATTTTGTTAGATTAAAGACACACCCACTGGTATGGATAAGACGCCAGCTGTTGGCTGTGGAAGCCATTATCGCGTTTAATAGCACCGCCATGACTTCATAATTCTTTAGTTTTATTTTCTTCTTCGTTGAAGCCCCCTTTTGTTATTGGCGCATAGTCGTGAGAATACCGGTTCAATCACCACTAATGATTATTGAACGTCCCCACTGCTGATTCCCTATCTATTCTCCAAGAATCCATGGAGCACATCCCCAAGTGTTGAAAAAATGATAAATGAAGCATGCAAATGGTGAGACTTGGTTTGAACAAATCCATTGCTTCAACCTGCTTCACCTTTTTCAACATGTACTATTGGTTTTCAACATAAACAATGATAATCCAAGGTTCTCCATTGTATTGTTTTTGAATCCCCAGCACGTTGTTGAACATCAGGCTAGTTATTGTTTTTTTTGATATGTTTGTATTTATATCACATTGTACAACATTTTTCGAAATTGATCAGGTTTGGGAGGTAATAGATCTAAATGTGCGGTCAAACATTTTAGATATGTATACGTTTATGCCGAGTCTATTTTCATTGCTGCTACTTAGTTTCATGTCCATCCGGTGCCTCCAAGACAGCGCGCCAGGGTTTGTAGCAGACAAAACTGTTCAGTGCTGGAAAAGTTTTTTGCCAGACACCCTCACTTCAGTACTGGGGCTCAAAGACTCGCACGCTCAAAGTTCCAGGGCCATGCCGCTGCAAGTTCTTCTCCATCCTATAGATATACATATATATATATATATATACATACCTACAGCCTGAAATTACCGAGGCGAGGGGTTATTTTCGAAACCAGATTTAACGAGGCGAGGTGCTATTTTCTAAACCACATGTAACGAGGCGAGGTGCTAAATGTTCGTAACGATGACCAGACACGAGGTAGACGAGGTAAGAAATAAAGTAATTTGCACAGATTTTTAGTGCAATATATTCTTTTGCCATATGACTTGTTATTTGCAACATCCCCAGCTGTTTCCTGCAACCACCTGCTTTAGGCTGTGGCCATCTGGCAGAAACCCACCACGGCAGCGTTGCTGCGGCACCGGCAATGCCGACTCAGGCGACACCGGGAATGGGATCTGGGTGGCCAACGTTGGATCATATGGTTATTGATCAACAATAAATAAGCACAAATTGGTCAACAAGAAATGTTAGTTCATATGATTATTAATGACCTGACACTGCGTAAGATTAACTAATGTTAGTCAATGTGGTCAACGATAAATGTTAGTTCATTTGGTGATTGGGACTGGGCTATTTCATATGATTATTAATGTTAGTCAATAATAAACCAACCATATGCTGGTGGTTGCGAAATGGTGCACCACCAAAACAATGGTTGAAACTCTTTAAATAATGGGATAAACCATCTATCAACTGGTGCAGGACTTCTTCCATCCACAGTATTACTGGGCATATAATGATTGGTTGAGCTGAGTAATATATTCTATTACCCAGTAATATTACTGGGATCAATATTACCCTATAACGATCTGTGAATAGATTTCTGTCCCAGTTGGAATCGTATTTTTTTGATGGGATTACCATGGAATGGAGATATTAATGGGGTTAGGTGTGAAATAAGTGAGATCTAATTGTGATATATAGTTTACTTTCACTTGGGATTGGTGATACAAATGAAGATATCAATGGGATTTAATGGCATTAAACAATCAACAATAGGGATAAAGGGATATTACTCTGGCTTGTTTCTTTTTTATTTGAATAACAATGGGATGATAATAGGGATATAACCAACTAACAATGGTAAACCACGGAATACTTAGCCAACTTAGCACAAAAAGGGGTGAGTTTGACTCGCCAAACCGGTGATTGAATGATATTATTCATGGGTTTTTGTTCATATCATTTAGCGGGATTTAAATGGGATCTAATGAGACGTAGTGGGATTTGAGCCAAGTTGGTACACAGAAGTTCGACAATTCATTGTTTGGTTTCTGATAGGCCCATAGAACTGGTTAATGGGGGTAACATATGCCAACAAACATAGGGGCGGCACCGTGTAGGTGTTTCATAGCCATGGTGCAACCTGGTATGCTTTACCAGTCTGAAAACTGAGATCATTGATTTGGAACCCAGTGCTAGTTATGCCGTATCAGTGGCGGCAGAGCAAGGTCGATGCGATGAACAGAGCAAAAGCCGAAGCAGACGAAGAGCATCGACTCGCTCATGGACCATGGACGAGTGAGGAATGGCAGGCATGGCAGCCACATGGTTGGATCCTTCTCCCTACTTCCTTCAAAACATCAGATTTCGACTTTGACATCGTGAGCTCTTAGCCACTGGAGCTAAGCGCCTACGTCTTGCCGAAGCTTCTGCCATCGCTCAATCTGAGGAACTGGGCTCGTGCAACTTCACAAAGAAAAACCCCGTGTTTGTTGGTTTAGTACTGTTCTACTTATTGGTGCTTAGTAGGGAATGGATGGGAATGGGGGAATGGGATTATTATTGATAGTGATTATGGATCATTCCCTCATTCCCTGCTAAGCACCAGTAAGTCTATGTGGTGGTTGATTTCCACATTTTTTGATTGATCACCACTGTGTGGTTTTGCTGGTTTCACTGCAACGTTTCCTTGCTTTCCACCCATCACTTGATATTATTTGCTACGAATCCCTTGAGTGCGGGATACCTCACCCATCTGTAAATCTATGAGGAGGTAGCTCTACTTCTTCCCAGTCACTAAGTGGCATGGTCACTAAGCGGCATGGTCCGCCCATTGCGCAGTCAAGCGATGTTTCAGATTTTGCATGCTAATATTTGACAATTGAACCAATTCAACCAGTATGAACATGGGGATATTCTAAGGGCCAACAACAGGATATTCACCAGTAATAGCTATCATGGCAGTATGGTCTCTGCACCAAAGGGCTGGTGGATTGCTGCCCCTCAACGACCATATTCTTCATCTCAATAACCAAATGTTCTGGGCAGATGCCCCACGTTCAGAGTTAGACACATGCATTATCCCAACCATTTTGCGACGGATTTGCGACTCATCAACTACATGTTCCGTATGTTGCCAGTGAAAACAAATACTATTGAATCGATTTTCTTCCTCCTTTTTCTCTGAAATTCTGCAAAGTTCATGAATTTTCGTATCATTATTTTTTAACAAACCCTAAGTAATCTCAAACACAACATGTTCCATTGATGTTCCTCCTTTTTCCTGATTAATCCCCCAATGTTTGATGATCAAATCCCCTTCTCATTATCAACTAACACTGACTCATCAGTGACAACCACCATATGTACCAACTTGTTGGTGATATATCCCACTATATTCCCATAAATGATGGTCAAATCCCTAACTGACTAGGGCTATCCCTGGTATTCCCATGCTAAAGACCTAAATCCCGTGGACTTTTATTCCCATGGGGCTTCCTCCTCCCTCTGCAGCCAGGATTCTGACTGCCTCCCACGAGTTCCGCCGAGCCACCGCGGCGGCAGCCTTTGAGCTGTGGCAGATGCCAACAGCTGAACCTTGGAGAAAAATCCGCCTTGGATGGTGGTTTAACCATGAAAATTTGGGATTTCACCGGCAAAAATATGGTGATTTCATTGGAATATAAAGATTATGAAAAGTTTAGAAGTTGATCCCCCAAATTTAGATTATTTGTTGGACGTCCAGAAAAAGCTTGGGATTTGCACGTCAAAAATATGGGTTTAACTGTGAACGATGAACAATGGGTATGGATCAAAATTGATTGCTCAAAAACGATGAATTGCATTCTGATGAAAATGTGTTTCCCCTGGCCCTTAAACATGCAGGATTCACCGTCATAAAACATGCGTTTTTTCATGAAAAATGTAAAGTTGTTTGCCACCAATGGGGAGCCAACTTAGAAAATGATGCAAAATCGTGCTCGTAGTTTGATAGTGGACAAAAAATGTTTACCATCCTAATTGGAGTGCAGCCATTTTACACGTGTGTACATATAAACTAGACACCCACTATATTCAATATTCAAGAACGCCATCAATATATCCCCATATCCCTCGTTCACCTACCCTTTTAGGATATCAGGCGGCTTTGTGAAGAACTGGGACAGAACTTAAACACGATATTAACCCGAAGTTGTTTAGCTCTGGTTTGAATGATTCGAATGTCACCGTTGCGATACCCTGTGGTAATCTGGCCGAAGTTCTTCATTTACTGAATCTTATACAGTAGCGTTGTTCATTTTCCCAATCGAACATAGGGTTTCCACATTTTGTCCAGGATGGCGAGGAGTGGGAAGTCTTCAGTCAAGAAGCAGTGCTCTCGCAGCGATTCCGCTGATGTTGTCCCGGACCCGGAAGAAACCATGTTTTAATAGGGGATGAAACCAGGGCTGAAACCACATATTGGGGACGCAATGAGGGTCTTTAATGTTAGGATGGGATTATTTGGGGCTCAGAATTGGCTCCGCCCAAAGATTTCGATGAACAAATTTCCTAGGTTTGACCAATATCCATTCACATGGATAGATGCATCGTCCCAAGTAGATCAACTGAATATTGAAAAAACATTGGAACTAAGGCATTGATACCTTGGTAAATTAGGGATGCCTCTGGTAAACTTATCCTCCATGATGGCTCCAAAGTTTGGAATGTCCAAAAGAAGTTTGTTCGCTATTCGCCGAAAATTTGTTCCCTTGCTTTTAATCACGACTTTGAAGAGATCGGGAACTGGCAAATCGCAGCGAAAGGCAAACCTGTGGCCGGAAGGGCCTTTTTCCCGATCGTGGATAATAGGGGATTGATGTTCGGTTACACAAAGAAATCAGTCCGTAAAGAATTGCACGGACGCCCGGGTGGCAGAGTCTTTCTGGAGTACTTTCGGGGCGGCCTTGCATCCGCAAAGGCAGTTCTTGAAGGATTGAAAACTCCCCCCGCCAGAATCACAGGTGCCGTAGACTTTTTTTACCGCGGCATGCAGGCAGAGCGAGCGAATGCAGAATTTCAAGAACACGCAAATTTTTCTTGACGTGATGACCATTTGGAGCAATGGAGTGTGAATATTTTTGTGACGAGTACTTCATTCGGATTTCAGCGGCAGTGAAGCCGAAGCGAACTGCCAGGCTGCAAATCACAGTCCGAGACGGGGAGGCTATCCGGCTATCCCAAACTGGCCGAAGGTTTTAGTTTGGTGGTTTTGTTATTACCCTCTGGTAAACGGTCACATAACTATGGAAAATCACCATTTTTTAGAATCAACTATTTCTATGGGCCATTTTCAATAGCTATGTTAAATTACCCGAGTGTACTTGTTTTGCAAATTAGTCTCCCATGAATTAGATAATGGTGGATTTTCAAATAATACTATAGACACTGGTACAAACTAATATATGCATAATAATATCTACCAGTATCTATGCATATATTATGATGCACTAAAAATGTAAAGCCCAAGGAGGGAGACAACCCTTTGGGGACTGATCAAGAACTGCACGGTCCTGCTGATCCACGGAACTAGCCCTCGCCATAGATGATGCAATAAGGAGTTTACTTCAGATTTCGGAGCAACAATGATGCACTTGCGATTTTTTCAGTGGGATTTTCTAGCCAATAAGGACCCTACCACCTTTTGGACAATGATCGTTTCAAAGCCAGCGATTAGTGACTTAATTTGAGGGCTGCCCCAAAACCTTGGGTTGGTCTACAGGTTGCTCGTTGCAGTTTGATGATCCATGTAGAGCCACGCAGAATTTTTACCCCAGAAGGGCCCATCGATATTGGTTGGGGTCGCTGAAGGAAAGCTGCCGCATTGCCTTGCAATTGAAGTGCCTTTGCAGCAAACCATGTCGAGCCTGTTGGGTGTTGGTCTGTGGGCCAAGTTTGAGACCCGGTGGATACGGAATGATTCAGATTGGTGGTTTGGAACATGAATTTTATTGTTCCATATATTGGGGATAATAATCCCAACTGGCTAATATTTTTTAGAGGGGTGGCTCAACCACCAACCAGGATTGTTTTACCAAACATGCTTGAAGGATTTGGCGCCATCATAGTTTTGCCTCGTCATCCTGCAGTGATTTCGTTGCAGAGTTTTGAATAATAAACATACGTAACCCATGCATTTTGAAGCCCATTA